GCTATAAAACCTGAAACTTACAGTGAAAATGACAACAACAACAAAAGACCATATTGACAAAGTCTTGAAGACATTAGAGGCAAAAGGAAAAAATTAAATAATTTGATGACACCCAGATTTTTTTTTTTTTAAATATTTAGTGACACCCATATTTTATTTTTTTTAAATATTTTCACTACTAAAATAACTACAGGCAAAATCAAGGAGACAAAGTGGATGCCCAAGAAACAAATACATCATGCAAAGACACTAAAGACAGCTTTTGGTGTGAGACTGATTTCTTCATCCAATTAAAAAGCTGAGCTGCCAAAGCCAACCAATCATAAAAAGGGACTGGCATAAACTGAATAAAAAGATATGCCTCAATGGAAGATGAAAGGCCGAAGGATAATAACTTGTTAAATGGAGTGACATTATTTGAAGAACTCAAACCCTGTTTTCAGACTATACCATAAAAAGATATCAAACCAAATGAGAAGAAGAATCAGTCAGCTTCACATTATCATAACCACAAATGACAAATGAACACTGCAGTTAGAAAGCGGTACATCTGCATGTGACATAATAGACAATGTTACAGACAAGAATGCACAAAATATTTTAAGTGAGGTCTATATGAGAAATATCCATACATCTGGCCAGTGAAAACCCTGAGACACATGTGGTGTAGGAAGTTGATACCAGCCAGACAGAAATGTGGCAGGGAAGGACTTAACAAAAAAATGTTAGATAAAGCTGTGTTGGACAGCTGTTTTCAAACTGACTAACCTCATAATGGTGATACATTGCTGCATTTTAATGTTAACATTGACAAACAAAAAATTTTTTTAAATGACAAACTAGATAAGTTCAAACATGCAAATATATTACAATATGAACTTACCTGAGCTGCCCTAGATCTCTTTCACTGTTCACCTTTTCTACACTGACAGCCTGACTCTGGAACATCACCTCTTGCTTCATCTGAGTAATTTCCTCATTTTGCTTCTTCTGTACCTCCAGTAAAATGGTTTCTTTCTCACCCAACCGTCGACACACATCATGGTAATCTGACAAGTTACATATAAGTCCTATCAAAACTTGTCAACAAGGAAATTCTGCATGCATACATGAATGAAAGAGCAGAGAGACACACAGAGATAGATAGATAGATAGATAGATAGAGAGAGAGAGAGAGAGAGAGAGAGAGAGAGAGAGAGAGAGAGAGAGAGAGAGAAACAGAGAGTAACAGACAAAGAGAGGTAGAGAGAGAGGTTGAAATTGTTTACATCCATCCTCATTTGCTATATCCTCTTGTTCTTCTTCTTGCATTCACCGGCTGTAAACTCTGGCAGAAAGTTTCGGTTTTTTATCCACTTCTGGACTTCAGTCTTATTCCAGAACTTGAGTTTTGTGTGCTCATGTGTTTGACTGATACTGCTTATTTGTAAGCAGACTGTTGGTTCCTCACCTCTCAGGCAGCTGCACTCTGACTTCAAAAGAAACTCCTAATTAGTCAACTTCTACAACATGCCTTAAGAGGGGCAATGAGTCTATCTCCCCCCCCCCTCCCCCCCCCCCCCACAATGGGGCCCCGGAACCCACATGGGGAATCTGCCATGTTTTTTCCTTCTTTTCCACAGCCTTCCTTAACTCTACCAGACCGCTGGCCCGCTATTATGGGAATTTCCTAATCTGCCGCTAAACCGTTGTCCCTCAATGTCAGAAATGTGCGTACTATGAGAAAACAATGCGTCACAAACTAAAAATAACTAGCCAATCATGGTCAGACCTCGTGGTTGGTGATTGAGAATTGTTGCCCACGTTTTTCTGGATTTTCTTTGTGTTGTTTAATAGGAAAAAATTCTGAAAATTCACAATAAAACGAGCGGCTGATAAACCAGGCACTTTGACAGGAAATTGAAGTAGGTCTAAGCTTTTCACAGTCCAACAGGTGATCGGTACTTTGGTTGATTTAGACTCTTGAGGAGTCAGAATTTTGTGAAGAATATGTTTCTAGTTGAAGTGATACAGTCAGAGTGATGAGGAAAGTCTTGAAAATTAAAGATTTAAAACTAGATCGATAGTTAGAGAAGGGGGCGTGTCCCTCAAACAGCAACATCTGGGCTCACTTTGTGAAACAATGCCGATCTTTCTGGGTGGAATTGCACACAAAGGTGCGCTAGATGAATGGTAAACCTATTTTTTATAATGTCTCCAAGTTTCAACTTATTCTAACCACTTGTTTGCATGTAACTAATACTTTTGTATATCATATTGTTTTTCCGTGTTGATGACCAGGAGCTCAGGTATAGGGGGCAGTTAGGTTCAGGGCCTCAGGTCTGTTAGGTTTAAGGTGTCACTGTGTCTATGTTATTTCCCATTTTCTTTGGACAATTTCTCATATGTAAACCTCATCAATGACCATGACAACCATATTATTTCAACTTTCCTGACCTGCCCTTTGGTAATATCCTGTCATATCCCATCCCTGTTGTTTCCTATAAGTGACATTTTTCCTATGTTTGTAAATTGTCTCACCAGGGGATACATTAATGGTACTAAGGTGGATTCATGGAGACACGATACCATGGACAGTGTTGCATGGAGAAAGAAAAATCAGGAAGGAAATCGGGATATAGGATGAAATTAGTGCTGTCAGGTTGAGAGCTGAGTGTCTGAGAAGAACCACATTATATACATTCTATAGCAACAATGGCCTTAAAATCCCAAGCTTTAATTATGGAAGACTTTTCTTAACATGAACGAGTCTTGCTAGATACAACTGCTATAACCATGGGCTGTGAATCCTATGCCTCTTTATATCCCAATATAACATTATCACCTGGAAAGATAGGACAAGTCAACTAGGATATCTAATCAATATTATCATGCAGTCTTTTCTCACAAAAAAATACTCTTCATTATTTTTTCATGTTTGCGGTTCTGGATTTGGTTCCACAATTAACAATCTCATTATCAGAAGAAAGAAAAAATGTTGACAAATACTAAATAACAAGAAATTTAAATAAATACTATAAAAGTGTTCATTCAGTTATTGTCACTCCCCTTCTATGCTAGAGAGTGGAAATAAGTAAACACTGTGCATTCCTGCACAATTGAAGTAAACAAACACACAAAGTCTTCTTTTTTTGTGTTCACCCTTAAGAGTGGCTGGCATGTTGTGGTGTGGTCTACAGCTAGTCTGTGATACATGTGCCTTTTGGCCCAACATGTGCTTTTTTTATCAAATCTTCAATTCCTCACCTTTTATGACATGCTTGTTGAGCAGCAGTGGGTATTTATTTATTTCCCCAAAATAAGGTCCCAGAACTCACATTGTGAAATGTTTAAACTTGTTGGACTGAAGACATAAAAGTATTTTACCTTTCAGAATTGACTCCTTTTCTACTTTTGCCTGCTGTATTGTCTCCTTTGCTGCTACACAGTAACCTTTCTGTAATTCCAGCTCTTGTTTCAGCTCAGCAAGTTTTTTATTCAGAGCCTGAATACATTCTTCTTGGGACTTCATATTTTCCTGCAAATTTAAGAATTGTTGTCTTCTATTAGCATGCTCACAGCTTGACCAAGTTTAAAACTGGTTCTAAGAAATGTGGTAAGTAAAGATGGCTGGTACAATTCTAACTACATCACCTAGCAAGTGCCATTCTGTATATAAAAGTATGGAACTCTCACTATGTACTCAATATTCTTTGGGGTGTAGAAAAGGGTTAACTGCTTACTTATTAACATGCTTTAGCATGTCTCAAACACAACATATCAAGGCAAAACTTTGGCCAAAAGAAACATCGGTGCAAGTCAAACTTTACGGGTCACTAAGTGAATAACAAAAGACAGTGAAGTTCATACTAGAGACAACAATGCAGATAAAGGTAATTTATTTCCAGTGAACGAAAGAAGAAGAAGAAGAAGAAGAAGCATGCTTTAAAAAAAAATTACTTTTTTAACTTCTTCCACATCAAGCATCTTGCAAACTGGCAAGGGAGGATATCTTTCTTCACATCTCACTATCTGTTACAGAATTATATTTATCTATACTATGAAGATAAAAACTGAAATATTTTTGGCCATATCAAGCATCGCAGCAGGTTGAAAAGAATAGGAGCAGAAGGTATGGTGCCAGGAAAAGAACCAGGTGCTGACCAACACACATATGAGCACTCAAGTGACACCTTGGGTAGGAAAATGCATGAGACAGGAGATCTGGTGAGAGACTGAGCTTCTTTCAGGTGGACTGTGGTGAGAGCGACATTCTGCAAAGGACCTGCTACATGATGATGATGATGATGATGATATCATAAAGGCATATAATTATAAGAGCTTACAACATAACATTTTGCAGTCTAAAATTAATGTTATTTGAATGCCCGCTTGGTTTAATGTTAACTATCCTCAAAAAAACTTAAAACTGGTGCAGGTATTCAGAATGTCTACTGGAGCAAGCTTGCTGTCATGATTTTTTTTTTCTCCCAATGCAGTATAATTTTACGCTTGGTAATTTGCCAGTGCTTTCTGGTTGATACTATGCTCCACTACTGTCAAAATAAATACAACATGGTCTGCTACCAAACTGCTTACAGCTGACTTCAAACCTCTTATGTCTGGATTGTTAAACTGCGTTTACACCTTCTAAACCATTGATTACAACCCCTTTTAATTATATATAATTTTTTTTAAATTTACTTAACTAACATGCCAGAAACTTTTTTTGTCACCAAAACCTTTACTAATAAGGAGTCTCTGTGGCCATCTGGTCAAGCCCTCTGCCTTGGGCTCTGAAGATCATGGGTTCGTTTCATGGCTGCGCCATTCAGTTCATGAGTGCAATTTTTATGGAGATCCCTGGGGATCGTCGCTAGAGCAATGGAGTTTGTGCTCTGTGCGGCGCTCTCGGCAGGCAGCTAGCCATTTTGCGGAGAGAGACTGAGCTATTTGGGATAAAACCTGGTGCAAATAGTTGATCCTCTCAACTTTAACCTTTAACCTTTGTTTTGTCTCACCTGGAATTTTTCCTGAACTTTTTTTTCAGAGATCACATTCCTCAGCATTAACTCATGTTCATGCTCAAGAACCTGTATTCTGTGAGACAATGTTAAAATCTCCTCCTTCTGCTTGCTGACAACAGATTGTTCATCTCGAATCTAGAAACAGAAATACAGTTTTTACAATGTATGACACAATTCTTGAATCACCTCACTTCCTCCCTTAAAAAGCATGTCGTAAAAGCCGACTAACTAGGGGCTCCTTCAAGTCGTGGTGCATCCATCTGAGAGGCAAGGAATCAAAGGTGTGCATACAAATAAGTCAAATCTGTAAAACAGATGTGCAAAAAAACAACTCAAGTTCTGGAACAAAACTGGTCCTGAAGTGGACGAACAGCCAGAACTTTTCATTGGAGTTTAGTTCCGGTGAACACGCACAAGAAGAAGAAACCCATGAACAAAATAACACAGTCTATAAAACAAACCGGGGCCATTAAAGCCTGAGACCCAAAAAACACACATATCCACTCAACTAATGGATACAATCGACTTCACAGCCACATGTACACAAAATGTAAGATTTGGTGAATCAGCCATGTGTGCATGTGGATTGGCACTTGAGACAACAGATCAAGACTGTCCCAAATAAAATATATCAAGGCAACACTTTTGGCCAAGAGAAACACCGGTGAAGCCAAAATGTACGGGTAGCTGACTGAATTACAATAGACAGTGAAGTTCATAACAGAGACAAGATTGCTGATATAGATAATCTATTATAAGCAATTAGAAGAAGAAGAAGAAAAGCAAATGGAGACTTCCAAAGACCCCAAAATACAAAGTCCACATTTACTTATACTTTTGATTCTATCCATGATACTGCAGGGATTGCACATGACAGAAGGGAATGAAGGACTAGACTGTGAGTCCTGTGTGAAATATAATGGCTTTACAGGATGAGGACAATGACTGTAGTTCAATCATTTCACATCTAATTACTACAGTACAGTCAAGCATTCTCGTTTCAGGTCATCTCGGGGGTATATCTTATGGAACCTGTTGTATTTCCCTTGCACACTTACTTTTTAAATTATCCTTTAATATACTATCAGCTGGATTAGCTGTGATTCTGCAGAAAGAGACTGAACCCTAGGGGACAAAACCAGGGGCAATAAAGTTTATCTTTCAGACTTAAAAAAAAAATCTTTCATCTGTAGAAAATATGAGGCTAGTAATATATCTCAGGGCATATACAGTGTCTCAGGGCATATACAGTGTCTCAGGGCATATACAGTGTCTCAGGGCATATACAGTGTCTCAGGGCATATACAGTGTCTCAGGGCTTGAACAAATTAGAAGAAAGCAGCAGAGACTTTTACAGTGTCAAATAAGTATTGCTTTGTGGTGCGGAAACATGGAGAACAACTAAAACAGTTACTAATAAACTACACATTTTCATTAAATATGCAACCAGAATATTTTATTTATTGAACCCTGATCGTTTCTACTCATTCTTTTTAATTTTAAAACAAATATTTTTTGATTAAAAAACGTAAAATTTTTACAGAGAGAGAAAAAAAGATCCATAAACTTACTGCAGCATCCCTAGCCAGTATTGTCTTTTCTAGTTCTGAGTTGACATTGCTCAGACTCCTCAGGCTCTCCTTAAGCTCATCAACTTTAGCTCTCAGTCGGTCACGTTCTGCCACAGCCTGGATCAGATCCACATTTGCTTGTCTCAGTCTGACCTCCTGGTCACTGATCACACTGTCCTTCTGTTGCAAGGTCACAGCAGTGGCTAGATTAGCTTGCTCTGAATGTTCAATCTGGTCAAAAAAAGAAATGAATTTTATCTATCCCTAATTATGTAACATATCATTTACAGAATACTGCCACTTCTTCTTTCACTATGACCCTTAAAATGTTGCCAGCACATTATGTTGTTCTTAAATGGGTACCAGGTAAAGTCCTTGGAAGTAAAGGCAGACAGTGTGATCTCAGTCAGTTGACCACATCACCCATCGAGGGTCTATTAAAAATGCCTAATTCACCACTGGTTAAACAGGGACTTTGACTTTTTTTACTTACTTACATTGTGTTGTCCCTTACAGCTAGGTTGCTTTAACTCAACACATTTGATTTCAGTAAACCCTTAATAAGTCACCTTTTATGACATTATGTTATAGATCGCAGGGGTTCATTACAGATGTGAGTTGTGGACTAGCTTCCTGTCCTTAACTCTTTAAGTCTAAGGAATGCATCTTACGTTCATAGGTTTCTACCTAGAAGCCCAACTGACGCAAGATGCACAGATTTTACATCTCTCCTGATTGGCCTCTGATGCTAAACAACCTAGGATTCAAAGAGTTAAGATAGAATATAGGGGCTATTGAGCTGAAAAGCTATAGAAAGATTCTCAGAATACCATGGACAAATAAGAGAAGAAATACTGACAATTTAAACAGATCTGAATATCAAAGAAGATAAACAGCATCTTGTCTCGGAAACTGAAATATTGTTATCATATCAAGCGCCATCGCGGCTTGGAAAAATAATAGCAGGAGGCATGGTACCAGGAAGGAGGGTTAGGGGCTGACTGACACCAAGATGGGCACAGGATATAAGTGACCACTTGAATATGAAAGTGCACAAGGCGGGAAAATTGGTGAGAGACTGAGTTTTTTACAGGCTAACCGTGATGAGAGCGACGTTCTGCAAAGGACCTGCTACTTGATGATCATATATATATATTTTTTTTTTTTTGGATTAACTGGTGTAATTTACCAGCACTATATACCCAATATCACTAAGGGCTTGGAAAAGGGTCCTTTATGTTGCTCTCTTACAATCACTGTTTACAGGAAAGACTGTGCTACTTTCAACACCCCTGTCTCAGGAATATTTTTAAATGTTAAATGCAGACCTAATAACGTGTGTACTGCTGGTCAACCTCTGCCTCTCCTTCGAGAAACCATGTTACTCATTACTGTTCTTTCTAAACCACAGAAGCATTTAATATAACAAAGTATTTCAGTTTCTGATATAATTCCACATACATCATCAGCCAGTCATCAATATCTTCCTGGGAAATGCCTTCAAGTTTATGTATCAAGCATCACATCATATTATGTTTTAACACTACTTGTCCCAACCACCATTCTATAAATTAACTTTGTATGAGGCATTGATTAAACTCTTTCAACCCACATCGCATTTTTGTTACTTCAAAACACTCTTTGATGCTTGCTTAATTAATTTATATAGGGGGTCTCCGTGGCAAAGCTATTTTCCTTGCACTCTGAACATGAGTTTGTTTCACGGCTATGCTCTTCAGTTCATGAGTGCAAGTTTTACAGAGATTCCTGGGGATCCTCGACAGAGCTATGGAGTTTGTTTTCTGTGCAGCACTCTCAGCAGGTGGCTAGCCGTACTGCAGTTAGAGATTGAGCCAATGGGATAAAACCCAGATGCAATGAAGTCGATCCTCTCGACTTTTAACCTTTAACCTTTTTAACCTTTAATTAACTTATTTGTTATTTACTGTCTCTCTTCTTCATTTAAATGTTATCTGCTTTCTTAAGACAACAGCTGTCTAACAGAAACATGATTATGGAATGACTGCGTCCTTTTTAATAACTATAACAAATAATTTACTGAGCAAACTGCCATTTACTGTCCATTTGTACTACTTTTTGCAGTGTAGGTGGAAAATGGGGGAGCGAGGATCTTTGAGCCCTAGATTCTACGGCCACATGGTCAGTGCTGTCACACTGAGCTGTGCAGGTTAGGATTTTATTTTCGCCCTAAACAGAAAAAGTCCATGACCTTACTGAGGATGGTCGGTTCGCTTCCTCACCCCCTTTCCTTTCCAGACAATTTCCAAAACATTCTGGAAACTGGCATCAATTTTTATGAAGCTGCACTATCATTTACACACCCTAACACACTGGACTACAAGTTGCTTTGCAACCATTTTGTGGTGCCCCAGTATAACTGTGCTATAAAGCTATATGGTTTAACGGGGATTTCTGGGATTTGAAGCTCTCTAATTCTCATCAATAAATACCATTTGGAAGCTTTTTGAATATTATCTCACTACAGACTACTAAATCAGGTGGCAATGAACCGACAGACATGGTGAGCTATGACCTCTGGCCTATGGATTAGGCTCAAGAGGAAAGACTAACTAACTAAACTAACAGACTACATGCCTCAATAGAAGATAATAGTATCCTAAGCATACTGTTGATTTCCACCAAGATTTATTATACTTAGTATTATAACGGTTTTAAAATGTAGCTATACTTAGAGCACATTATAACTAAGATGTTGTTGGTGATGTCTATTAATATTAAGACTATTATTATTTGCTAAAATAATGTGTGAATGGAATAATGTGTGCACAGAGTGAGGCTAGAAGGGCAGAATGTAAGACAGGCCTGTGTGACCAATTCCTAACCCTTTGAAAATAAAGCTATTTTATTCCTTTGTTCATCTTTGAGATGTTAATCCATAACACTGCAATCCTGAAGGGGAAAAACTTTTTTTTTTTAATGAAGGTGCACAGCTCAGTGGCTTCAGGGGTTTTGAAACAGCTTCACAATCCCTTTCTGGCTTTACAAGGCTTTGATTTCCATAACAGGCAGTATCAAAGAAGACCATTCTCATGTTTGCAGACAGTGATATGAAAGTTGTACAATGGCAGAGATTGGGGCCTCACTCCATATTTTCAAACACAGCAGCAGATGTCCTGTTGCCAACTTCCCCTGCAGAGACTGCATATTTATCTAATCCAGCTTTACAAGACTGTACTTAGCTGTACTGATCAGCAAAAATTCTGCCATTTCTGAGGATACAACCCAGACCACTGTTTTGGCAGACAAATGCATAAGGTGTTTCTTCTTCTTCTACTGCTTCTTCTTTTGTCCTACTGCTTATGTCATAAAGTGTCGCATAGAAGAGTTTGAGGCAGTTTCCTATATTTTGCTAGTTTCCTAGCTTGTGTAAATGTCATATTAATAAGCATCTGTAATGTTCCCATCCACCCATCAATCTTGGTTGGCTTCTTGCCTTGTAGCCTGCTCATGCAGTACCCTCTAGCTGCTGGCTGATTTTATTCCATTCTGAAAAGATTACCAAAACATTTCATTCTTTGATGTTCTATGAAATCATATACGGTACTGAGAAGGATAAAATCTATTGACATTGACCACACTTGACATAAGTGATCAAATTAACTACGATAGCATCTTACCTTATTAATAATTTCATTGATATCGGCTTTTCTTTGCTCAATTCTGTCCTTCTCTTGTTCTAGGTGCTTTTCTGCAAGAACTAACTGTTTCTGCAAAGATGCTTGTTCACGCAGCAACACATTGTTAAGATCTACGATGGCTGCATTCTCTCTCATCTGGTATTGATACAACTTGATTTAGTACCAGAATACATCCCAGAATAATCACAAGTTAGGATAAATAGGTAATTTAAACAAATGAGCTATTTGACGCTTGATTTCTTTGCATTATCTGCTGTAAACTCTGGTAGAAAGTTCTGGTTGTTCGTTGTTCCAGAACTCAATGCTCACTGGTTCTATTTTTTTGCAGATGAACATAACATGCTTTATTGATTAAATAAAACTGCTGTGTGAAAGATGGATGTTTGGAAGGGTTGAGTGTAAGACAGGCCTGCATGCGCAATTGTCACCCTAGGAAAATAACATTCGCTCATTGGTTTGATATCTTTTTATTATATGATTTAAAGAATACTCCATACCATGTGCAAGCTAACTAAGATATATTTACAAAAGCAATACTGTAAATTAGGTCAAGTTTACAATCCTTGCTCCAAATGTTTAGCTTAAATACTACTACGCATTATTTTCTCTAACCTTCTTTCTTGTCTAATCTCATACAGTATATTTACATCTAGTAACTTCTACCGGGATAACACATTTTTTTGGGGGGGTATAATTCCGAGGGTGACATTATACAGACCAGGACAAACAGCCGCATCAGAAATTAAGCAAAACAACTCACCTTGACAATTAACTCATTGGTGATCCTGCTGACATCTGCTCTAGTTTGCTCACAGTCTCTGTGTAGAAGGTGACACACTTTCTCCAAATTCATCAACTCCTGCTCCTGATATCTGCAAGAGGAAAGTACAATTAACTCTTCACGCCTCATATATTTATTTAACAACAGAGACACAAACAATAAATTACGCAATTTACGATCCTAGCATATTTGACTTATCTGTCAGGTGCATACTACAAGAACAATTAAAAAAAACTGAGCAAATAAATTGATTGTTTAAATTGGAAATACAAAAAAGAGCTACACTCAAAAGTAACTGCCCATTTTACTGGGGCAAGCTCAGGTTTATGATTATGTCTTTTTGTTTGCACAAATCTGGACAGAAGCGATTTATTGTGGCCAAAGGACTCTGCTACTGGTTGACATATACAGAATTCAAAATGTGTCATTCTTGTTAACAATGTGTTTAGATATTAAAAGGTGGCACTTCTTGTGTGGATTCTGGGTCCTTGTGGAAAGAGGAGGGGGGGGGGGGAAATAGACTCACTTCCTCCCTAACAAGCTGTCACAGAATATGACTAACTAGGCCCATTTCATTCAAAGAATGCATCTGCCCAAGAGGCCAGGAACAAACAGTCTTCAAACAAATAAGCAAGATCTGTAAAATGGATGTAAATGTTAATCTCAGGCTCTGGAACAAGACCAAAGTCCAGAAGTGGATAAACAACCAGGTCTTTCTAGTGAAATTTACAGCAGGTGAATGCAAACAAACAAACAACAAACAAAAAGTGCCTCACAATCAATGAAATATAGAAATTAATCTTGCATTCAAATGTCCTTTTATACTATGAAACCTGAAGGTGATCCCATACTGTGACAATTAAATTTTATAGATATGAAGCTAAACACCAATCATTATCCCCGTGTGGGTTCGTTCCAAGACCCCATTGTAGGGAAAACAAGAATAGACCTACTGCTTTTCCAACAAGCATGTTGTAAGAGGAGTCAACTAACTGGGGGCTTCCTTTGAAGTTGGAGCGCATCTGCCTGAGAGGCAAGGAACCAACAGTCTGCATATAAATAAGTCAGATCTGTAAAATGGATGTGCACACAACATTTAGGTACTGGAACAAGTCCAAAGTCCAGAGGTAGTTAAACAACCAGAACTTTCTCATGGAGTTTACAGTTTATTTGTTCAAACCAGAGCCACAGAATGAAAATTTAATGAAAATGTTGCACAACCAAACACTTACTTGACTTTCTCCATAATGATATCATTTTCCTTCAACTTTGCAAACATAAGGAGGTGAAGGGTTTGATGTTCCTTGGTATTCTGTTATTTTAGAGAGAAAACCATAAATCAAAACTGTATTGATTATGAGAGTGATGAAGTGTTCAGTCTCTCCAAACAAGGTCAAATGATGTGGATACTGATGGTCTATGTTACAAGCTATTTAGCTACATACTGGATGAGTTCATCTTTATCTTCTTCATGTTCACCAGCTGTAAACTCTGGCAGAAAGTTCTGGTTGTCTGCCTACTTCTGGACTCTAGTCTTGTTCCAGATCTTTAGTTCTGCATGCCCATCAGTTGTACAGTTCTGTCTTATTTGTATACAGGCTGCAAGTTCCTTTCCTCTCAGGCAGATACACTCTGACCTACCTCAAAGGAAACCTCCAATTAGTTAGCAAGGCAGTGGGTCCGTTCTTTTTATCCTCTAAAATGGGGCCCTGAAACACACACGGGAAGATCAGTTATCACAATCACTCACTGTGACCAGTTCCATACCTGAATCCCCTCCAAAATATGACAATTCCATTCTACACACACACAGACACACACATTAAAAACTTGACTACGTTCAACCTGCTGTTGGCAGTGAGCCGCCAACAGTCTCCAGTTATATTTGTGGTCTGGTTGATTTGAGCCACCTGCGTGGCTAAGCCCACCCAAACATGAGAATTCTTTAAATAAAATGTCATCATACACCAATCAATCTGGAACTATCTCCCAGTCAATGTTAGGTACAATGAATTTCCAAAATTCTGTCCCTTGTCCTGTTTGTATACTTTCTGAACTGCTGTCCGTCCATCTCTTGGTGGTTTCATCTCATTTTTATCAATGTCTGCCTCTTATTTTTTGCTCTTAATTTATCCCCTTTGTCAATTTTTAGTGTTCCAATAGTAGTTGTCTGAGACAAAAAAGATGAAAATAAAATAGGATGAATTCAAAAGGAGTGAAGAAATAAGAGAAATGTCTGGGCTACCACTAGTATCAAACAATTACAAGACACAGAAGATGGCATTATATTGGACACCTGAGAAGAAACCAGCAGAGAATCACCAAATAGGCATTAAAATGGGAAATAAAGGGATTAAGAAGGTGAGGACACCCAAAAGAAACCCTAAGACATGTGTCGATTGGAGAGGCCAAAGCTGCTGGACTGGATTCAATCCATGGCATTGAACTGACTGTAAGGATAGAACGGAATGGAGGAATAGACTGTAAGTCCTTTGTGACACATAATGGTACAACAGAATAATGAATATGATTGGTTTGGTTTGAACAACGGATCAACATCATGGCACAAGGGTAATAACCCATAAGTGCTCCGTTCTCTTCTAACTCAAGCATGAGTCCAAAAAATCTCAGCGCAGTGCACAAAGTGTGCACAAACACTCTGTGGCACAAACGAGGATCCTAAACTACAAGTTTGCCCTGGCTAGCGCTTTTAGGTTACTATTTTCAATTTCCAACTGCCAAAGGATTTTTTCTGTGTGCAACACAACACACGGGTGTCCGATCTTACTACTCAGAGACCAGCAGGGAAGAAGAATGGCACACAAATAAGCCAGTAAAACAGATGTAGATGCAAAACACAGGTCTTGGTAAAGAGCCAAAGTCCAGCAGAATGAACAAAGATGACTTTACACCAGAATTCAAAGCCAGCAAACACAAAGAAGCAGAAGAATATCACGGATGGAATCCAGACCAGCATCTTTGGCCTCTATCATAATGTTCCACTTAGAGTTTTGTCTAGAGGTCCTGGTTTCCTCAATCCATTTGTTTAAAATGTAAGTGCCTGTTTGGTGTTTTTTGACAGTGGTTACTGAGAAATGACTATACATGAACAGTAGATGATGAAAACTGACTATATAGGACAGTGAATGTATCAAGACTGAATGTATATAGTTTGTATTCATAGTTTTCTTAACTGCGATCTCAAGACCTACCTGTAGCTCACTCAAAGAGTCACCATTGTCTTCTGAAGATAGCAGATGTAACTGACAATTTGACTCATTTTCAAATTTACTTATGACTTCCCGCAAAGAGATTTCTAGAATGCTTATGTTTCCTTTGAGAGTATTTCTTTCTTCTTCCAAAACAACTTTCTCCTCCTCCAAAACCTGTCGAATATAAAAGATTAAAAGTTAGTTTAATGCAGTTCTTTCCTCTGATCTTATATGAACAAAATGATTAATAAAAGAAATAACTTGTTAAAAACTGGCACACACTACATATTATTATTACAAATTATTACAATTTTTTTTAATGCCATCAACTGCAAGAGATGTGGCATAAAATACATTGGTGAAACAGGTCTACGGCTGGGCGACAGGTTCAGACAACATCTTTTGGATGTGCAAAATGGTGCCCTGAAACCAGTACCGTTGCACTTCAATTCCCATGATCACCAAGGTGTCCTCGACATGCAGGTGACAGCCATTAAATCTAGCTACTCCAGCAACAGAGTCCGGAAGTCTTTTGAGAATCACTTTATTTACACTTTGGGGACTTGAACACACTCTGGATTGAGCTGCCATCACAGTTTCATTTATACTCCTAGGGAATTTAACTGCCTTCACAGTATTATCTCTAATCCCCTAGTTATGGCCCCTGGTACTCCACAGGGGGTATTTACTACCCCAGCCCACGCGAGTAGGCATTCTGCTGAGAAACCATCGACCCGGCTGCTTCGGGATACCAGCTAAGTGATTTTGTGTATTTGTGTAGTATTGTTTAATTTGTGTGTGCTGGTAAAGGCTCCATAGCCGTTGTTAGTATTTGTTATATTGTGAAGCTTGCTAATATACTTTTCATTCGGTGTTATATCTTTTCTTTATACATATTATTAAGAACCTCATTAAGGAAAAGGGAGCTGCCAATACAAATAAGCCAGAATTATAAAATAGATGTAAACAATATTCATATCCTTTAGGATGTCATTATTAACATTTCTATAACATTTCAGTCTTATTTGTTTAATCTATAAAACATAATATTATTTATACTAGCTTCACGAACATAATACTGAACAACAAATTCTGTACAAGGCTTTGAAACTAGCAGTATGTACTTATCTGCATATTAAAATGATAATTTGGTATGAAACATATTCACAAACAGAAGTTTAAGACACACTGAGTGCTTACCTGAACTCTCCTTTCTAATGCAGGATATTCATTAGCCATCTTTATGTTGCTTCCAACCGCATCAGATGCTTCTTTCTTAACCTTGCTGACTTCTGAGTTCAGTGTTTCATAATCCTCCCGAACACTGGCAAGTGTGCTTACCGCCTGCTGTGATTAAACAAATTAAAAGCAGTAATCACTTACAGACCCATAAACATACATACACAAATAAATACAATTAAAATAAATGCTTAAGCACAGAACAACCGCTCGCCTGCAGATCTGATCGTCATGGCTTAAGCACAGCACAACCGCTCACCTGCAGATCTGATCGTCATGGCTTAAGCACAGCACAACCACTTGCCTGCAGATCTGATCATCATGGGTTAAATCCGAATGCAGAAGGACTTTTCTTAAAATGACCTTGGCTCTCAGGTCAACCAAGCCTTAAATAGATACGAGGTAAAATCCTGGTAAGTAAAGGCGGTTGGCGTGATGCTGACCACATCACCTACCTAGTGCCGACTGGTCTATACGGTTCAAGTGTAGTGTTATATGCCCAGTCAGTCAGAAAATATGAAAAAGGGTCCTTTGCTTTTAGTTTACACATTCAATCCATTTATCAATCAGGTGCCATCTCTACAATAAAGGTGCAATGGGCTCCAACAAGCTCTGTCTTTTTGTCTTTTATCCTAGATGTATACTCTCTCAGATTGCTGTTAGTCCATCTCTTGATGGTATCCTACCACTTGTACTGCTGTCTGCCTCTTGCTCATTTGCTTTTAATTTGTTTACCCAATCATAGTTTTCATAAGAGTATTGTGTCTTCTAAAATATTTAGATTGCCTCTTTTTTATTTATTTATTTCAGTAACATTAAAAGACTACTGAACTTTTAAAGCAAAATATATGGTGTGAAGAGACCTACCCCTACCCAAAAAATTAATTACATTTAAATTAGTTTCAAAGTTAAAGATATGATTAACTCTTTGAGTCCTGGGGCTTTTGCATCAGAGACCCAAGCTGTGGTAATGATATATTTTAATTTCACCAGTGTAACACATTAAAACATACTATATGAATTTAGCAGCCATGCAATAAACATATATTATACATCAAAGTGACCATGGATTGTTGGGGAATAATAATAGAATACTGCTACAACAAATAATTGCATTAGTAGTAAAATATTAATAAATAAACAGACAGTATGTTTACAGAAATTAATAAAACAAAATAATAATGTTTAAACTTAACACCACAGCGCTCAAAGAAAACTCATTAAAATGTATCCAAAATGAATCACAAATGAACATGAACCACTTAGTAATATATAAGTAAAATATAAACTCAATCTACACTTTAGATCTTGTTCTAGAGAATCTTCTGAAGCATCAAAACAAAGCACAGTATTTAGTAAAAAGAGAAATGACATCCCAAAACAATTAGTATCTGCACACAAAACAAAGTTTATATAACACTCAATGTGCCTGTAATTTTGTATCTATGTTCCTAAACAATAAGGGGAATAGCATCATAACTGGCACTGAAGAAAATAGCCTTTCCACTAATATTTATTCTATTTGTGCCAGCTGACTTTGCTATTGATGTTCCCTTCACGTGAGATATCCCTCATCCAAGTCTGACTCTATAAATGACTGAAACAAAGTCTACTTTGCAATGTTATTTATCTAACTTCAGATAAATCTAATAAACACATGCTTTATGTAAAATATGAGGTTTCTAAAGCTGTTAATCATGTTGGCATGCATGTAGAATACCTCTTGGCAGACATATAGTTTTCAAACAAACATTTAGTAACTCGGTAAACCTCGCAAAAATACTTCATTTTATGCTTTTAATAGCGTTTAAAATTAATCTGATGGCTATCATGCCTGATAACCAATACAAAGAACTAGAAAGGAAGTTGAAATTCAGCAGTCCATGTTTTAAGCCTACCAGACCGCTGGCCCGGTTTACCGGGAATTTCTTAACCAGTCTCTATACCGCTGGCCCTAATTTTCGGCTTTTTGCGTAGTATGGGAAAACGATGCGTCATGGACTAAAAATAACCACCCAGTCATTATCAATCCTCTTTGTTAGACATTGCAAATGTCTGCCCACATGTGTTTGGATTATATTTGTGTTGTTTTACGTGGAAAAATTCTGAAAATTCACACTGAAACAAGCGGCTGATGAACCATGTTCTAGGCTTTTCACAGTCCAACAGGTGATCGATACTTTGGTTTATTCAGACTCTGTGATATATATATATTCATTATCTGTGATAATTTCATAAAGAATACGTTCTTGAAGTGACACTGTCAGTGAGAGCGCGAATGATGAGGAAAATCTTGAAAATTATCAATCTTGAAATAGATCGATAGTAGGAGGAGGGGGTGTGTCCATCAAACGGCAACATCTGGTGTTCACTTTGTGAAACAAATTTGATCCTGATGAGTGAATTCGCACACAAAGGTGGAATATTGGTGCTAGATAAAAGGTAAGCCTATTTTCTACAATGTCTCCAAGTTTCATCATATTCTAGCCACTCGTTTGCACATAACTAATATTTTTGTATATCATGTTGGTTTTTTCGCGGTAATGCCCAGGAGCTCAGGTTATAGGGACAGTTAGGTTCAGGGCCTCAGGTCTGGTAGGGTTAATACTGTTTTTTTTTTTATTATCTAGAAGCCATGAGTGTTAACCCTTAGGCTCGGTATTATGGATATCGCAACCTTTCGGCCTTGATTCCATTGTAAATACCGTAAATCTGGGAGAAATGTGGATTTTCTGCCTACCCCCAGGAGTGAACCCAGACCACAAGGAGTTCGTAACCCGGTCACCGCGCAATCCGGTTTAGCCAACTACACTAGAGAGCCGGGGTTTAATACTGTTCAGTGGTAAATCAAAAACCTTCACTGGGTGGTAACCAATTAGCGGGTGATGCGTTAATTGGGACTCAGTGAGGTAATAAATGGAAAAATTCTAAATAGTTTCATGGAGTGTCACAGAAAATTATCAGCTGTCAAACCAATTTGCAAAATAAAACAAAAACACACACACAAAAAGAGAACTTATATTTATGGAGGCATGTAAGCATAAGTGCTGAAGTATCTGGCCCATGATGATCATGAAAACTTAACCAGTATTCTCTTTCTTCTGGCTACAGAAGTAAATTAATTTGCTGACAACAGAACAAGAGAAGAAGAACACTAACAAACACTAACCATCAGCTGAGCTTCCACCTTCTCCTTCTCCAGTTTGACCTCATTAAGTCTAAGTTCTGCAGCCAACAGACTTGATCTGGCAGTTACTTCCCCTGGACAAGCAACACCTCCAGCCACCCCAAACTGACTGGCACTCTGCTCCTCTAGTTTGGCTATCTTTGAATTAGCCTGCTGCAGTTGTAGTTGTAAACTTTCAAGCTGCACAAGGACAGAATCAAACATGTCAACCAAGAATAATATACAACAACAACAAACACGAAGGGAGTACAAAGCCATAAAGTAAAAACTGAGCTAATGGAGCTAACTCTTTCAGTCAAAAAATTTTACAGCTGATGCCTGATTTAAGTAGCAATGATGACAACTAAAGCATTGGTAATGTAAACCCTCCCAATACAGGACAACATATTTCTTTATTTTAAAGCCCCACTGTCTATTGCCGGGAGCCCTAATATAACCCAGCCTATGGGTTGAATGGTGGCATTTTGTGGCTTGGTGTGATGCTCTGGTAGGGTTGAATGTCAATCAATCACAAGCATTGGTATACTACATCCATAGGGGTTTAGATACACAATACATTGTGGGTGACTTGCGCTGCTGGACTGATTAAATTTGCCTGAGTAAACTTGAAAGTTAATTGTTGATTGTTGAATGAAGAACTGACTGCGAAGAGTTTTAATTCCAATGGCACCTGTAACTGTCTGACTGTGCATCCGTCTCGCCCCTCCCTGGAGTGCTGAGTGCTGGACAGTGCCATTCTCCTTAGACCGTAATGATCTATTTGTGCCTCTACACTGTTCACTTACTCCCAAAGGGCCCTTACAACATCTAGCTTGTCATACATCAATTCACCACCAAGTGGTGCGAAACCAGCCAGTCTATTTTGCCTGTTCATTTCACAACACACCAACATGACCTGGAGAAAATATCAAATGGGCACTAACCATCAGGGACTTCTAAAGCGACGCTTGCCACTCTGCATGGAGCAGGCCTGTCTGAACCTCTCTCAACATGCTCTGTGAGTCAGTTACAATTACGACATGTGGTACAGTTGGTTTTCAAGCCAGCGGAAGGCAGCAGTGACTGCCTCCACCTTCATTCTCAAACTAGACATTGTGGTATCATATGATAGGCTTTGTTGCACTAAGCAATGTCCATTCGCTTTTGCTATGACTAAACTTAAGATATGCCAATATAAAAAAAAACATGTTGGCTGGTGATTAAGAGGAATATCCAGTATACACTGTGCATTGTTTGGGACTGAAAGAGTTAAGGGGTGTTGACTTACTGACTGACTTTCTACCCCACCAGGACATCACACAAGCGATAAACACCCGATGACACAAAGTGCCACCATGCGGATGAGGATCGTCGTGGAGAGGTCCAAGAAACCGCGTTCAGACATCTGGCCATATGTATGGCCTGCCTATATTGCAGACCCTGGCAAAAGCCAGAGTAGGGCTTCAAATGACAAAACATTTCGTCCTAAAAAGGACGAAATTTGATATTTTATTGTTAAGGGGTGTTGAGTTGAGTTGAGTTGATTTATAACTGACATCACAGCACTCTGGACATTCCCATAAGTGCTTCATCCTCATCTTCAGCAGAAAGCAAAGAGTTCCAGCTCTGATGTTTCCAGTAGCAGTTTGATTACATGTCTGTCTTGCTTATTCTGTGAGTGTAAAGTGTCAGCCAGATCCCCTGGTCACTCCAAGCTGTTGCCTGGTTACTGTCTGGCATATGAAGTTACAGTAACAGGTATCTTGGCAAAATGACGTAAAAGTAACAAGTGTATTTGCAAAATCAGTTACAGGTAATAACTATGTAGCAAGATAAGTTAAAAGTAACTTTATGTTTGGGCAAAAGGAATAAGGTAAATATATGTCCTGTAAGGGTAAAAGGAGTAAAAATAAAATATATGTTTGAGCAAAATGAGTTAAAGGTAACAATTATGTGGCCAGAAGGAATTTAAGGTGAATATATGAATTAAAGGTAAAAACTTGTGGGCAATAAGAGATAAAGGTAAAAGTCTGTGGGCAAGAGGAGTTAAAGGTAAATATATGTGGGCAAAAAAGAGTCAAAGATAGATATCTGTGGGCAAGAGTTAAAGTTAACCTGTGGGCAAAGGGAGTTAAAGGTAAATATATGTGGGCTAAAGGAGATAAACATAATATGTGTCTAGGACCAAAGGAGTTAAATGCAATATAATTATTGGACAAAATGGGAAAGATAAATGTGTGGGCAAAAGGATGGAGGAAGTCTTCTTCTTTGTTCACCGGCTGTAAGCTCCAGCCGAAAATCCTGCTTGTTCGTTCATTTGGACTTTGGCTTTGCGCCATTGCCAGAGTTTTGCATGTACATCAATTTTACTGGCTTGTTTGTGTGCTCAGGCAGATGTCTCTGACTTGGAAAGAAAGCTTCCAGTCAGTCGACTCTTATGACATGCTTTTTTGGGTAGGTAGTGGGTCTGTTCTTGCTTTCTCCAAAACAGGGGGACCCAGAAGAAGGAAGTTTAAAAGGTGAGTCTAAAAAGACTTGAGTTGAGTTGAGCTGAGTCAAGAATTGACATCCTCAGCAGCCAGCGCAGAGTTCCAATACTAATGGTACCGGTCGTAATCTTGTTATATGTTCGTCTTGCCTTATCCCTGACTGAAGTGAGCTGGCCAGACCCCCTGGTTACACCCAGGTGCCTCATTCTCTCCAGGCCATAATAATCTTGTTTCGCTTATGACTCAGTTGCTTTTTCCCAAAGGGTCCTGACAACATCTGCCTTGTCATGTATCAGTTCACCACCAGTGGTGAAGGTCCAGCTAGTCTGTGTGCCTGTTCATTCCCCACTATGCAAGCATAGCCTGGAGCAAAGATCCAAAGTATACTCACTACCCGTGACCTTCCCAGTGAAGCTTGCCATTCTGCTCAAAGCATCCTTGTCTTCACCTTTCTCAGCATGCCTTCAGAGTCTGTTACAATTATGACATGTGTATGCATCTTGTTCCCTAGCCACCGGAAAGCTGTAGTTACCACCTCCACCTCCATTCTAATACTAGATGTGGTGGTATCGTATGCTTGGCTGTCTTGCACTAAAGATTTTCCATTGGCTTTCGCTACAAACCCACAGGCACTTCTCTTCCCTCCCAAAACCAAATCATCTGTATATATAATCAGATCATCTGGGTGAAGATTGTTGTGAATCAACTGTTGGACTTCCACCTCCGTAGCACCCGCTGGCCACTCTCTGCAGTCCTAATGTGATCATAACCCTACACAGATCAGACTTTTTGTCTGGTACTCTGACCCACTCCTCTCCTCGCCTAATGTTTTTCAGCATGCCTACTTGTCTTATTTGTCTTCTGCTTGAGCCATCCAGGACTTTCCTCCTTTTAGCCTCTGACCTTTACCTGAAGCTAAAGATTCATACAGAGGGTGTTCTTTGTCTGCAGCTACTCTGAAGTATGACTTAGCCTGCAGCGGCTTTAGCTTAACTGCAATAGTCGGCAATGCAAGGAATATCACATGCATACAATCTGGGTGTCTTTTGTACATCCCGGGATCACCAACTTAGCTTCATTCTGTATGCAATGCCTTTTCTCTAGCTGACTCTTCAAGACAGAGAGTAACCCCAATCCATAATCAATCATTGAGATGAATAAGTGCTGGTAAAATATGAACAGCATTCTTTGCTCCATGTCCATCGCTGCCACAAGCTTTAGTGCATTAAGACCTGTCTGTGCCCTTGTCACAACCCCCTCTATGTGATGCCTGAAAGACAAACTTCTGTCAAAGGTGATTCCCAGGTACTGCAGTCTGATGTTTCTTTTGATGTCTCTGTCATTTATTTAATTTGCTATTTATTTAAATTTATCATCTAACAAGACTTATGAAGCTAAATGCTGAAAGACAAAGTATACATAGTTCACACAAATCTACAAAGAATAAGAAATACAAGATGTCTATATATCACACAGAATGTTTTTGAAAGACTGAAGACACATTATTACATGTAAAATGCACTGTTGTTACATAGTAATATAATTACATAGTAATTTAAAAATATCTTACCTCTCCTTGTTTCTGGGAAAGTCTCTGATTTAGTGTGTATATCATTACTTTTATCATTTCTAAATGCTCTAGCTGGTCTTTTTCTTTGCCACTTAGTGAGTCGAGCAATTGACATCTCTGGTCTAACTGACATTGGATTGATTCCAGCTATATGGAAACATAAATGTTTTTTTTTCTGTTAAAATAAATTTTAAAATGCAACTAAAATATTAAAGGAAGCCATAGTAGCAAATTGGCTAGATGTTCACCAGTCAGCCCAAAGGTCTTTAAACTAATCTAATTATATTATTGCAATTTTTCAAAACGGACCTTGTCTCCAAGGTCAACTTTGCCTTCAATGGGTACCATGCAATGTCTTGGAATATAAAGGTGGATGGCATGATGATGTTTACATAACCAGCTGAGTGCTAATTGGTCTATGAAAATATCATCATATGTTCGATACACCAGAGGGTTCTTTACTTCCACAACAGTAAAGATAGTCATGATTTTTGTGACTGTTCATTCATGTAGCATAAGCATACAGTTTCCTTCTTCTTCTTCTGCGTTCGACATCAGTCATGCTAAACATTGAGTCCCGCCTGGGTCACAAATAGGATTGTGCGTTTAAGGTCGCCACCGGTCCCCCATAGCTTCACTTGCAATGTGGCTCTCTTGGGCCAGATCCACAGTCTTTGCTGGGAGAGGTTAGGGCAGTACTGTAGTGTGTGTTCAGGGGTTTGTCTTTCTGCTCCACAATCACAGGCAGCAGATTCTTTTATGCCTATCCTGTACAAGTGTGCTCGAAGACCACAGTGTCCAGTCCAGTCTAAAAATTGATGTTTGTTCTTTCCTGTTGAGTTTGTTTATGCTGTCACTCTCTGGTCTGTAATCTCCATTCTGCCTTCTCCACTCCCGCTTGAAAGACTGCTTTAGCGCTGTTTTGGTTTCCTTGTAGCTGTGTGGTGGATGAGGTTGTATAAGATTACTCCCAGCTTTTGCTAACTCATCTGCTCTCTCATTTCCTTGAATACCACAGTGGGCTGGTATCCACTGCAAGACCAGTTCTGCTTCCTTGGAGAGTAAGCCAATGTTGGTCCTTAGATCAGCAATTAGTTTGTCTTGTTTTTTGTTGGATAGTGCTTGGAGAACAGACAATGAGTCACTAAGTATAACAATTTGGTGCCTTCTATGTTCTTGAGTGATGAGATGTTGGACTGCAGAGAGGAGAGCAGTTGCCTCAGCTCTGAAGTTAGTGCAGATGTCACCTGCTGGTAGAGAGAGAGTTTCTGCTCTACTGCTAGCAGAGCCGTCGGTGAAAACCTGAGTCCAAGTGGTGTTTGGATACTTCTCATCAAGCATAGCAAAGTCCAGGGATCTCTGTTGTGTCTCCGTCTGGGCATCTTTTGAAGTGATTCCTTGTACCTTTAGGACTACATTTGCTTTCTCTGGCTTGCTTGTCCATGGTTCTGGCCTAAGTTTTTCGCACAGTGCAACATCTCTTTCAAGCAGATCTTGGTGCTGTCTGTAGCAAGGTGGTTGGGGCTCTGACGCTTCAGTCTGTTTTTTGTTCTCTCTTGAAATTTAAAATGCAGTGGGTGACTTTGAAGTCTTTTTAATTTCTCATACTGTAAAAGAGTTTTGTATTGTCTTCTGAGTTTGAGTGATTCAGTATCTGCTATCTTTTCTATTTCTCTGATGGGGGTGGTTTTCATGGCTCCGAGAACAATCCTTAATCCCATATTCTGAACCTTGTCCTGTTTTCCCATTGTTGTTTTGGCTGCTGCAGCCCATGCAGTGGAGGCATATTCCATGACTGGCCTGACTGCTCCAGTATATACTTGAGCATACAGTTTAAAAAGCTACTTGTTCCTTGTGTGGGCTCCAGGGCCCCACTGTGGGAAGGGGGGGGGGGGGGGGGGGGGGGGAATACTAGACCCACTGCCTCCCTAACAAGCATGTCATAGAAGTCAATTAATAAGGGGCATGCCCTCCGAAGTCAATGAGTCTGCCTGAAAGGCAATGAATCAACAGTCAACATACAAAAAAGCCAGATCTGTAAAATGGATGTGCATACAAAACTCAAGTTAGGGAACAAGACCAACTTCCAGAAGTGGGTGAACAACCAGAACTTTTTCCCAGACTTAACAGCTGGTAATCCCTTTCACCAACATCATAAACCTCTTCCACTGTTATGCATTGTGGGGAGGAGCATTTTGCAATCCAGTGCAATGTCTTTAATGTTGTCAATCTGTATTTTCATGTACAAAATCCCAAAAGCAACTTGTACAGTTTTTAAAGCTAAACTCTTCATTGCAGTGTTTGGGAAAAAACTATCAGTATGGCCAAACTCATCGAATGGTCATATATTTATCTTTAGGTTAGAACAATAATTTTTACATCCAGCGCTATTTCTTTCGCTATGTCTTTTCGAAGCTGTATTTCACTTGCTGTCTTAGAAGTTTACCCCACAGGTGAAAGACCATAAAGGTCAGGACCAGTGTTGCCACTTTGGATCTTTTATATCCAAATTTAGATCTTTTTCATTGCATTTAGATACTGTTTTTGACGTTTAGATCGTAAATATTTTTCTAGATTCTTTTCATATGGGATAGATATTTTATAGATTTTTTTTTTCTTTCATTGTCAATTTAATAATTACTGTGTAAAATATTTACTACAATATTTTTGTTTTGGTCTGGCACGTACATTGTGACAACTGCCATTACTTGAACTTTGAACTCACAACTATCTGGCAGCCCCGGTACTGATTAATAAAAAAGCGCGTAAATCATACTAACTTTGTTTCAACCGTATCCTCACTGTGCTGACTTTGTGTTTCTTTTTCATGTGATTTAAAAAAATAATTGCTCACCTTCTTATGTGGCTTTCACTTTGAAAAAACCTTTCAACATGCCAAAAGTAAAGTATGAGCAAAAAAATTGGAAAGAGTGGTTGCATGATGACAAAATTAAAAATTGGGGATATGACCAAAGCTTGTTGTAAGTACTGCAAGTGTGAAATTAAAGAGAAAATACAAAACTCAAAGAGTCATGCAGAGACTAAAAAAGCATAAAACTGCAGTTTCATTTAAAGATATTACACCGCTGACATCTGTTTTCAGAACTATACTGATAAAGGAATCATCAAAAGTTGAAGTATCAGTCGCAATGTTTTTCATTTGTCACTGCGCAATTTCAAACTGTGTCCATTTGATCTATTTGTAAAAAAATCTTGGACTAGTTCAATTTGAAAAGTGTGGTGTAGAAAGTATAGTTTAGGAACTGAAGGACCTTTTAATCAGCAAACAGTTAGGCTTGAAGAATTTGGCTGTAATTGGTACTGATAATGCCTCAGTGATGGTTCGTATAAACAATGGCGTTTATGCCAAGTTGAAGGAAGCTAACCCATCGTTAATACTTATAAAATGTATGCGTCATTCATTGCAGCTAGCATTATCACATGCTTCATCTAAATATTTACCAAGGAATTTGGAATACCTATTTCCTGAAACACTTAACTGGTTTTCCAAATCATTTGTCAGACAACAGCAATACAATACATTATATACAGCCTTGAATGATGGTTCCACACCACCGAAAATTCTGCCAGATTGTAAAACTAGATGGTTATCAATTTAACCAGCTGTTGAAAGAATTATGAAGCAATGGATGAAGTTGAAGACACACTTTGAAATAACAAGACAAAGTGAAAAGCGCTACACAGCTGAAATACTATATGGAATGTACAGTGATGAAATTTTTTTTTAAATTCATTCTCTTTTTATAACCTTTTCTAATAGAAGTGCAAAAAGTTAATACTGTTCCACTTATAAAGAAATTTGAACAGCTAAAGCATATCAAGGTCATTTTGGATTTGAAGCTTCAACTTCATTATCCAAGCTAAGTTTATCCTGTGGATCTTGTGAGGCAGACATCAGTGAAGGTGAGGACATGATTATGTAGGGTAAGTCATAACAAAAGCTATGTAATTTTTGACTTTTTCAATTTGGATGTTTTTTCTAGATCTTTTCCACGCAGATTTAGATCTTTTTAGATAATTTCTGTCACCGTTTTGGATATTTTTTGTCAAAGAAAAGTGGCAACACTGGTCAGGACTAGATCTCTGAGATGCTATTCCTAACTACTATTCATCTGTTTCTAGGATGCTATTTCTAGGACTTATAGGAGATTCTCCATCTTTGGTTGCTGGTACATAAACGATCTATGGCTGTTTACCATAGTTTGTGTACTCACTGGTAATATTTCATTGGAGACATTTTTTAATCCCATGTTCATACTTCTATAACTCATGATGTTTGCTTGTTTTAGTGAATGCTGGGCTTAGTTTTCAGGATAGATATCCAGGTGATAATTGTACTGATATACAGCCTTAGCCAATCAGTCTACACTTAGCATCACTTGGATCAGAAGGAAGGATTTAAACCCACATCTACCACCAATCCGAGTAAAATAAACCTGTTCCACAACACAGATAAATGCCAAAATCTTTACTGTTGGATTTCAGGCAATAATGGTAGTTATAAAAACATAAATCTAACCTGATTCTCCATATTCTTGTGAATTTTCTGCTGAAGCATCAGATCTGATTGAACCTTGGATAAAGAGATTTCTCTTTCATTCAGTTTAGTTGTTAATTTTAAAATGACTTCATCTTTCTTCTCCAGCTCAAGTTTCATTTTATCTGTCTCCTTTTTGAAAGTAAAAGATAATTAAAGAAATGTTTTAAATCATAATTTCATTACACTTTGGATGAATCAAATCAATATGCCTACTTTCATGTTATTTCTTTTTATTAAAATTAATTACACTTTACTAAATCAAAATGAATTCAAACAAGCTGCCCAGGGCAGAAAAGATGTATGCTGAAGGCTTCTGTTTCACCTGGTTTAACATCCAAACAATTTGTAGATTTGTTTTCTGTTTTCAAAGTACAGGTTGACTTGGAGTTGTATCAACCTTGGTAGACAAAGATTCAGAACTGAAATGACTGCCAAAAGGCACTGTGATGCTACAGGGAGTTGAAGATTATAACAAGAAGTTGATGTAATTTGTAACAATATCATCATCCTCAAGTGCCTTGCAGACTGGTATGGGCGATCTTGCCTCTCCAAAAACTGTGATCCACAGCTGTGTGTGTCAGTTCGTGTGCTGACACCCCTCCATGCCATGACAAAAGGCTGGCAAGAATCTTCTCGCGCTGTCTTCCACTGGTACTCTGAAAAATGAGTGCTTAGAAGGGCCGAATGTCAGACGGGCCTGTGTGCCCAGTTTGTAACCCTTTAAAAATAAAATAAAGTTTGTTTGTTCGTTCCTCTGTTTCTCTTTCCACAGATTTTTCTAGTGGTCACATATTCCCTTTTCCTTCTTCTCATTACATGATCAAAAAAAGATGACTGCCTCTTTCTGATGTTTGTGAAACCTGTCTTTGATAACTCGCCTCTTTCAAAACATCTGGGTTGTTGTTCGTCGCTGTTTGAGAAATTCTAAGGATTTTTCTGTAAAACCACATCTCCAGGGCCACAAGATATTATTCAGCTAGCTTATTAATGATCCAAGATTCACAGCCGTATGTTATAACTGGCTCTATGTGGCATGCACACATTCTTTTCCTAACCTCCAATGACTTGGATTTATTGCGCAAAATGTTCATTTTATAAAAGGCAGTTTTGGCATGCCCTATTCTGTTCTTTATCTCTGCGATACAACTTCTACTGGATGTTATCCGTGAGCGTAGACACTAACATTTTTGTACTTGTCCAAAAAATAACACCTTCTGACTTTTATTATACATTTAGGTACTATTCTTTTCTTAGAAATCACCATTACTTCTGTCCTCCCATTATTCATATTGAGGCCTATTTTATCCCTTTCTACCACTACCGTACATATTTATTCCTGTAGTTCTTTCTGACTTGCAGCTATCAAGATAGTGTCATCAGCATAACCCATATTGTTTATGTTCTGACCACCAACCACAATTCCTGGTATATCCATGACAGATCTCATTATATATTCAGACAAATCAGGTGATAGTACACATCCTTGTCATACTCTCCTCTTTGTGCTCTAAAATTTTCCAAAATGGTTATTAATTCTTATAGCTGCTGTTTTGCTGACAATAGATGTTCTTTATAATTCATAAATCTTTTCCATCAATGTTTAACAGTTGATTATTTCTTCATCTTTCACATAATCAAATGCTTTCATATAGTCAATAAAGCATTAGTAAAGATATTATTTTTTTTAACTTTTATAGCTCTTTCCGAGACAGTCCTGAGGAAGTATATGGCAATTTCCTTCTATAGATCCACACTGTTCTTCACTAATGTCTTGTTTAATCTTGTTTCTTATTCTTCTCATAATTATTTTCAGTAACATTTTTGTCATATGACTCACAAGACATTTTGAAGTGCCTGGTTTCTTTGGCAGAACAATAAAAATAGACCATAATAAGTCACTAGAAATGTACCCAGTATTAGAAAGGTCATTTAACAATTTTGTTATTATTTCAATTCCAAAATATCTCAAATTTTCAATTTCTTCCAATGTGATGTTGTCTTGCCAGCTGCCTTTCCTTTCTTCATGTGATGCAGTGCATCCTCAACTTTTGTGGCCAGAACTGGTGGGCCTTTGCTGTTGTCCTACAAATATATTGCTGGTCTATTATCATGAAGTTGGGCCCAGAAAGAGAGTGACTTCTCTTGCCATTTATCCCTGGACGTGTCGTTGGGCCTGTCCTATGTTGCAGGAGTGTTAAGCTTAGTGAACTTGGAACAACACAAGGTATTTTATGCCTTGCTGTCATAGGCTGCATGCAGTCATGGGACATAGGCTGTACTCTCTCAAGAGGCTGAGGCTGTGGTGTAGGGGTGTTTGGGCCAGTTCTACATTTTTTGGGGCCGTTAAAAGCACTCACATTACAGAATACAGACCACAAGATATCGCTGGCCGGTGACAACATTGCGTAAAATTTGTTGTGTTGCTGGACACTTACTAAGCGCGACACCTCTGCAACATAGGACAGGCCCCACAACACAACTAGGGATGAATGGCAAGGGAAATCCCTCTCTTTTTGGACCCGAGTTCGTAGATTGTCCCTTATCATCATACAGATTTCCCAAGTACTCTGCCCATCTTTTAGTTACGTCTCTTTGCGCCATTACTATTTCACTATCTTTCGATTTTAAAACACCCAGTGATGTTACATTTCTTCTTCCCTGTTTATATACTTATCTGTTAGTAAATGGAATGTAAGTCTCTCCCATGATTTTTCCCAATCTCTGTGCACATTGAGTCAGGTAGGTTTTTTAAAGACATTTTACTTGCTACAGAAAGATTGTCAGAATACCATGGACCAATAAGAACAGAAATTCTGACATTCCAAAAGATCTTAAATATCAAGGAAAACTGGCTTAATAAACAGTCATGTATCTCCAAAACTGAAATACTTTGGCCATATCAAATGTCACAGTGGCTTGGAAATTACAATGATGGATGTAAAAGAAGAAGGGGGCCGACAAGCACAAAGGTGAGCACAGGACATAGATACCTTAGGCAGGACAATGTTTTGAGCACAGTACACAGATATCTTGGGAAGGACAGGGCATGAGGTGGGAGAGCTGGCAAGGGACAGTTGCTTTCAGGCAGCCTATGATGGGAGTGATGCTCTTTGAAAGATCTGCTCTGTGATGACGGTAGTGCACTAACATAATATATTTGCAGAAAATTAAGTTTCTTCTCTTCTTAGCATTCATCGGCTGTAAACTCGAGCAGAAATTTCTGGTTGTTCGCTCACATCTGGAATTTGGTCATGCTCCAGAATCTGAGTTTTGAATGCACACCCATTTTACAGATCTGGCTGATTTGTATGCAGACTTTTGGTTCCTTGCTACTCAGGCAGATTTTTTCCAGCTCTGAAGGAAACGCCCCTTATTAGTTACCTCTTATGACATGCTTGTGGGGAAAGGAAAGTGGTTGGGGGGGGGGGGGGGGGGTGACAAAACATTTGTCTCCATAATGAAGCAACGGAACCCACATGGGAAGAAAGCTCAGTGAAAGGAAAGACACACAATGATACGACAACTGCTTTGACCAGTCTCCATCATCCCACACAGAACAGCAGTTAGCTTAAAGTTAAAGTAAAGGAGCCTTTCATGCTTTTACAGTATCGGATGTAGGACTGCAGACTCATATTCTTATAGACCAAACAGCATTTGGTGGGTTATGTGGTCAACATCAAGTTGGCTGCCTTTATTTCCCGAGACATTACCTGGTACTTATTTTGTGAGGGTCAGTTTGGCAGCCAAGGTGAATTCTGAACAAAGAAATCTGACTTGATGAGAATACAAACCCAAGACATTGGCACTGGCCTGTAAAGCCTCTAGCTGCAACACTAATGAGGCCTCCATTTAGCTTAAAGACAAATTATAATATTTCACAACAACTAGAGCAATAGAAAAGTATTCTTCCTGTTAAAATGGCTGACCTGCATCACAATTCCACTGAGGTCTTGGTCTCGGTTTCTCTCCTTGACCAGTCGCAGTTCGTCTTTGATCTCACTTAACTCTGCCTCTAGTTTCTCTTTTTCCACCTGCATGGATAAGTGTTTTTCAGACTGCATATGTATTTCTTCCTTCAGGCTTGCTACCTGAGAGGACCATCAGTTTGGGAAGAATGTAAACAAAGATTTAATAAGAATAAAATGCAAGTAATGAGATACTAAATCACCTCTTCTTCTTTTTCTTCTTCTTCTTCTAAAAGTCTATACTGTATGACATTGGTAGTCATGTCTATCAACATTCTTTTGTCTCACATACTTTCAATCAACTCTGACACATACTAACCTCCATGCCATGATGTCAAACTGTCCAGCATCTTTTCTCTCTGTCTCCCTCTGCCTCTTCTCCACTCCAACTTTCCAACTGTCACAATGTACTTCAGTTTTCTCTATCTCATCACATAATCAAAGAATATAAATTGTCTCTTTCTGATATGGGCAATTAGTTCTCTTCCATGAGTCGCTTTCTTTCAAGAAGTTTTATTACTCTTTTTCACCTCAGCAGTAAGTAACAAGCTCATTATCCAGTCTAGCGGTCTAGTGATTAAATAACTTCGAATAAGGATTTTTTATTTTTTTCATTTGATTTAGGCTTTTTTTTTTTGTTTCCCCTCCAGGATTTCAGTCTGTAGGATTAACATCTCAAGAATGAGAGTTAAACATCTACAAATCCTGGAAACCTTGTTTAACCATAAAGCCAGACAGCACATTTATAATCAGGTGTCACAAAACGGTTAAGAAGGAACCTGTAGTGCAGTGTGGGTGGGTGTGATGTGTGAATTATGAAGGAACCTGTAGTGCAGTGTAGGTGGGTGTGATGTGTGAACTGGACGTTTATTCTTTTTCTTATATATAGATAGCATCCTTATCAGTCCCCCGGCCGGCTCTGCCCCATTTGGTGGTGAATAGATGAATGACAAGCTAGATATTGTGAGGGCCCTTTGAGAACGAGTGAACAGTGCAGATGGGCAGATAAATCATTGCGGTCTGAGGAGAATGGCGCTGCGAGGAGTTACCAGGGGATGTAGCTGACGTTCAACACTTAGGGGAAGGATGAGACCGATATACAATTAGACGGCTACTAGTGCCATCAGAATTGGAACTCTTCATCTGCTGCTGAAAATAGGGATGGAGCACTTATGGGAGTGTGCCGAGTGCTGTGATGTCAATTCTTAATTCAACATTCAACTTATCAGTCCCCCAGTGCTCATGTGTTCTGGTCCTTATGATCAATTCAATTCATTTCTATTTTTCCAGAAAATAAAATTCTATAACCCCAGCAATAATCCCTGGAGATTTCCTTTAAAATGTCACTTATTAATAGAAGTAAAAAATATGTGAAACAAAGCAGGATCTTCAGAGTATCAGGCAAATTGCTAAACTGGTTAGCCACAGACTCTCGGCAATCAAAGTTATGTAACTCATTAATTCCTCAATTCTTTCCGTCCCAAGAAATGCCTCATGTGTACGTGTCCATGTCCCTTACTTCCCTCCAAAGCATAATATGAATATGTACTGTTACCTAAAAAATGTGGTAAGAACATACTAAAGAAAACTGGCTTCCCTAACAGTTATTGCAACTTTGAAGGTAATTTGCTTTTCGTTCATGGTTATTTCTTCCCTTTCACATAACATAGGCAACCTTCTGGTACTGAAAGAGTTACTAATAAACTCATGAATAAATTCACTTTATTAATTCTTAAACACATGAATACATTTTATTTTAGTAATTGTTAGCTTTATAAACAAATCCAATTTCATATTTTCTCAGCTTTACTAATAAATTAACTGAGTAACTTTTATGTGCATGAATAAATTTATCTTTTTCTTCTTGTCTTCTTCTGTCATCTCACTTCTTCTTCTTCTTCATGTTCACCAGCTATAAACTCCGGCGGAAAGCTCTGGTTGCTCGTCCACTTCTGGACTGCAGTCCTGTTCCAGAACTTGAGTGTTGCGTGTGCATCCGTTTTACAGATCTGACTCATTTGTTTGCAGACTGCTGGTTCCATGCCTCTCAGGCAGATGCACTCTGATTTCGAAGGAGGCTCCCAATTAGTCGACTCTTATGACATGCTTTTGGGTAGGGAGTGGGTCTATTCTTGTTTTCCCTATAATAGGGCCCTGGAACCCACACGGGTAAAAGTCATCTCCCTGATACAGGTTATAGCCCAGTGACATGGGTTTTTTTTTTTTAAATTTTTCTTGCACTTCTCGGGTGACTTGGGTGATGGATTTGTTTTTTTGCAGGTTTTTGCTACACCATTTGTCCATATCTTTCTTGGTCTTCCTCTTGCTTTCCTCCAAGATGCCTGCTGTAAAAAGTTTCATATACAGTTTGGTCTGACTGTATTCTCACTAGATGGCTGAACCATTTCATTCTTTGTCTGTCAGTATAATCCAGACATGGTCTTATTCTGACTTTCTCTCTAACGCTGGCATTTGTAACTCTGTTTCCTCAAATTCGTTGTTAGTGACCTTGCGGAGACAGTGCATTTCACATATAGTTATTTTCTCTTCTAGTGCCATATTTATAATAAACTTATCAACCAGCAATAATGAAAGTTTACCTCAGAAGTCAGAGCCTCAATCTTCTGCTGTGTGAAAAGTTCCTCAGCGGTTTTACTCTTTGGGGCCACCTGAGCAGTCTTGAGCTCAGAAAATGTTTCAGCCAGTTCTTTGTCACGAGAAGACAGTTGGCACTGCAAGGTACTTATCTCAGTCTCCAGTACCTTGTTTCTTCTAGTCAACTGACCAATGTTTGACTGCAAGCCAGCAATTTCCAGCAGTAATATTTCTACTCGGCCATCTAATTACAGAAAATGGAAACAATTCCAAGAAAAATATGGCTTTCTAGAAACTGGGAACAGAAATGATTCAAAGGGTAATAGTTCTACTAGGTCAACTAGTAATCTGACCACACCACCCACAGAGTGTGATTTGATCTAAAATAGTAAGATTGTAGCATCACATGCCTGATGCACCAATGGATGTAAATGTCCTTTACTTCCTTTTTTTTTGGTGTTTTTTTGCATCCAGAAATATAAAATGATAATAACTGCTGGAGTAATATTTCTACTCGACCGTCTAGTAATGGACAAAGGACAACTTTTTCGTCTAGTAAATTGTAATATCTATCCCCAAAATTTGGAACTCTTCCTTGCAGATATTTCTGAATCATAGCTTTTGGTGTCTAAAGGTTTTGTGATGGCTTATCTGGAAACAGATTGGTTGGTGCTGCATCAACTAGATGTGGTCATGGCCTTTTTGGCAGCAAGTGAACAATGCAGAACAGATCATTACAGTGTGGAGAGAATGGTATGGCAGGGAGTGACCAGGGGACCGTGTCGACACTGCACTTAGAGGAAAGATAAGACGGCCATATATTCAAACTGCAAATGGTACCATCAGAATAAGAACTCATTGCAGGTTCATAAGATGAGGATGGAGTTTGTACAGGAATGTCTTGAGTGTTAGGATGTTAGTTCTTGACTCAGTATAATTCAACTGCTTTGGAATGTATCCATCTGGCGTGGCCATGCTATTTCCTACTATGCTGTTTGAGAAGTGTACACCATCATATGACTAGTGTGAGAGACTTCAGCACTAGTTATTCTGTCTTTCCAAGAAGTGTTAGGGATAGAAGCAGCCATCATAAGTGAAAGGCCTTAGTATTCTGTTATGTTGGACAAAATAGGAGTAACCACAGAAAATGAGTGATATTCAGATAAAGTCCAGATAAAAATATATAATCAGACTGCAGCTAGCGCTATTGGTACTGGAACTCTCTATATCAAGTGCAATGAGGTGTTTATGAGACTATTTTAAGGGCTACAACATCGGTTAACGCAACTCATCTTTTGCTCTGCATAAATGATCCAGATCTTATCACCATATAAGAGAGCAAAAAGTCAGCAAGAAATATGTTTACAATATATTTCACTTTTTCTTCATTTCTTTTTTTCTTGACCTACATTGAAAATTATGTTGGAAGGTAAAGAAGTTAGGACATTTATCTTTTATTACTACTTCAGGCATGATGCTATTCCCACTTGCAGATGTCTTCCTTATTTTTACTTGCAATTTACAACAGAAGTCGTCAACATAAATAAACTAAGAAACACGATCCATAGAAGATCACCTATGTATATGCTCAATTTGCAATGAAGATGATCCTATAAGGAATAATGAACTTGCAGTTTTTGGTACATTTAAAGCACCCCATTTTCCCCACACTGTGATCCTGAAATGTATGTCTTTGTTAAATTGTGTTTGACACTTTTATCAAAGTGTATTTGCCTTAACTTTTTTTTTTCCAAACCAAAGCATTTACTAGTTTGTGACCATAGACACTGTTTTGATAATTTATAAGTTGAGTAGAGTTGAGTCAAGAACTGACATCACAACACTTAGGGCATTCCCATGCATGCTCTGTCCTCATCTTCATCTTGATAGTTTGTAAGACACTGTTTAACAGTCCAGCTTAATATAAGAGCTAATTACAAGGTAACATATCAGATCCAGCTGGTCACAAGAACTGATGATAGATTAAAAATGAGATGGAGCTTATCAAGTAAGTTAACAATAAGAGTATAAAAGAGGTCAGCTTATCAAAAGTGCCATGGACAAGATAAAAATGTGACACAGTTTACCAAAAAGATTAACAAGATTTAAAATGTGGTGCCGATTACCAAACTAGCTGATGATTGATTGGTACTATTCCGTCTTTCCAGACGATAGTGTTATTTTACGCTATGAGGAGGCATGGGACTCACAGCCCATGGCGATGGCGAGTGTCTCTCCATAGTATAAAGCCTGGGCATTATTGCAGAGACCATATGTTGCCCATGCATCATGATCCCTCCCTCGAACTGCCTCGTTTACTCCAAAAGAAAGGTAAAACCAGTATGTTTGGAACAAAGCAGGCTGCAGAAGCTGCCAGATCAGAAGTACCAAAATAGCTGATGATATGATATATAAGAAGCTGAATAAAGAGAGAGTACAAATAAAGTGCAGCTCTACATTCTTCTTCTTCTTCTTCAGCGATCTGTGGTCATGCGCATAATCCACTGTGGGTCATAAACTGGGATGTCTTTTCAAGGTCTCTTAGGTTTCCCCAAAGCTTAGTTGTCAGTTCTACTGGGTGTTGCCATATGTCGCTCCGCAGCTCCGCCAGGAGAGGACAGTCTTGCAGGACATGTTCTGGAGTCTGTTCAGCACGAAGACACTGGCAGAGAGCTGTTTGGCTCATACCTAATTTATATGAGTGTTTATTGAGTCTGCAGTGTCCATTGCGTAAGCGAAAAACTGTGACTTGGTCTGTTCTGTTCAAGTGAGCTCTACATTCAATACTAATGAAGCGAAGGAACATCACTTAAAACTGCAAGACTAAAAGAATTGATAGTACCACCCACGTTCTATCATATCCTCTTCTTTTGATGCGGTCGAAAGATGACCTGGAGTCTGGGACAACCCCTTTCGAAGTGCGTCATTCTCAGTCTTTAGTGCATCCATCAAATCTTCCAGAGTTTTCAAACGAGCAAGAGCTTCATGCTTCTCTTTAACTAGCTCCGTCAGCTGCCTGAAAAAAATATATTTACAATGTTTGGGTGTCATTTTTATGAATTAAACTACCATATTTCCCCAAGTACAAAATGATCCCATGAATAAGACTGACCTTGATTTTGGGACTAGAAACTTTGAAAACAAATAGTAGATTATATCAGGTTACTGAACTCATGTTTTATTCATCATAGAATCCAGTAAACTCCTCATCACTGTCAAAACTCTCATCCATATGATAGTTCATTAGCTTGTCCTCATCTGTGTCTGATGATAAATCACTGTCTTCATATATTGCTTCATCCTCAGTTCCATCTGTGGCATTTGAAATGCCACACTTTTTGAATGACCAGACAAGGATCCTGGTCTTCATATTATCCCTGGATCTTTTTACCTAGGTACAAACTTCTCCTATAGTTGGTTTCTTTACTGCTGGTGTCAAATTGTCCCCAGAAGACTTCATCCATTGGTTCCATCGTCTCACATGACAACTTTGAAGGGTTTGTGAATGCTGACATCAAGTGGTTGAATCTTAGTGGACACAGGAATTCTTAATGTACAGTACAAAACAGTGCAAACAAACTATTACAGCGGGAAAGAACTTTTAATTTTATAATTTATCCATTTTGTATCACTCCTAAACCCACATTTCCAAATGATGCACTGTATGGAATATATTTTCTAACATTTCATTTGGTAAAAATCTACATTTTTTCTTGAGATGTGTATCCTTTACAGTACATTGCAGAATCAACCCTAGCATATTTTGGCTGTTGTGGTTTTTCTATACAAATTTTACTTTCAGTAGTTTGCTGTTGCTTCTAAACAGTCAGCTCTTAACACCACTGTCAAAACAAATGCATGATGGTCGGCTGCCAAATCTCCTGCAGCTGGGATTGAATCCGGCACCCTGGCATTATAAAGCGCATTCACAAAGCCTAAGCTACAGATACTGACAAAAATCTACTACCAATGTACAAGATGCACACATCGTTTTTAGACCCTACATTTTGGGGAAAATGCCTGTGTCTTTTACTTGGGGAAATATAGTATTTTGCAGTGGATCACATCCCACTGTGACACACCTGTAAATGAGAGGGCTAAAAACTAGCCCAAGAAGACGTCAAGAGAAAACAAGATTTTCCAGTTGTAGTCGCCCAAGTAAAAAAAAAAATTACTTATTTTAAAAAAATCAGTTAGTCACATGTCAACCACAAAAGGATTATTAAATGGGACTGGAACCCATGAGGGTTCCAGGGCTCTGTTTTGGAGAAGGAAGAATAGACTCACTGCCCCCTTATAAACATGTCGTGAATATTTAAGAGTATTTCCCTCAAAGTGCAGCTGAATAAGAGGTGAGGAACCAACAGTCTGCATACAAATAAGTAAGATCTGTAAAATGGATATGCATGCAAAACTCAAGTTCTGGATCAAGATAAAAATCTAGGAGTGGAAATCAACAACTAGAATTTCCTGCTAAAATTCACAGCTGATGAACACTAAGGAAAACGAAGAAGAGATAGGATTGGGAAAGTTATTAAAAAGTCCTGACGATAATAACAGCAATCAAACTGATTAGACAGAAGCTAAAATAAATGTTACAGCTATGACTACATGCATACTTCAACGTACTCAGTATAGCTAAAAAAAAGTCCAATGTATGACTGAATGAAATAGCACTAGATATCAAACACTATGAAAGTCTGCAAGATCTTTAGAAGACAGTGCAGCTAGTTCATAAACATGTACATCCCATTATCCCAAGATCATGAGAAGGAAGAAGAAGAGGAGAAAAAAATAGAAAAGAAAGAGAAGGAGGAGGAGAAGGGGGAGAAGAAAGAAGAAAAAGAAGAAGAAATAGATAAAGGTAAATTGTCCGTTCACTATGACTTCATATACATTTAATTAACCATAGTTATGTCCTTATACTTCCTTCATTAACAAAGTATCTCAGGGCACACAATCTGACATCAACATACTAATACTGGAAACAAATAATAGTCATTTACAATTAACTGCTTGTGTGCCTACTCTACTACTATCTTGACAAATAACAATATCTATTAACATTACAGCTTACTGCTTGCATGTCTGTTCTGTTACTATCTTTATAAATCTTCTTCTTCTTTTTTTCCTTCTTCTCCTTCTTTTCACATATAGCTGCTGCAAACTCCAGCAGAAAGTTCTGGTTGTTCATCCACTTATGGACACAGGTTTTGTTCCAAGAACTTAAATTTTCTGTCCACGTCCATTTTACAGATCCAAATTATTTGTATGCAGACTGTTTTTCCTTGCCTCTCTGGCAGATGCACTCCGACTTTGAAGGATACACCCCTGATCAGTAGACATTTAACAACACGCTTGTTGGAGGTGGAGGGTGGGGCAGTGGATCAAGGGGATTTACCCCTAAATGTGCGCCCAGAATCCACAATGGGGAATCTTGACAAATAATATTCTTCTAATACCTATTACTAGTCGGCTCTGTGGCTAAGTCGATGTGAACGCTTCGTAATGCCGGGGTGCCGGGTTTGATCCCAGCTGCGGGCCATGCGCCTTGCATTGGTTTCGACAGTGGTACCAGGGGCCCGACCGTCCAGAAAGCAATGGCAAACTACTGGACGTAAATTTGCCTAGAGAAACCACACAACAGCCAGGACCTGCTGGGGTTGGTTCTGGAAGGTCCTGTAAAGGATACGCAACTAACCAATACCTACTACTACTACTACATAACCCTTGACCCATGAGGGTCGTGGAGGTGTATTGATGGAAGCACTAGCATATAAAACCCACCAACTTTCCGTCTTCTGCTAGATGAATAAGTGCAAGATAACTTAGTCCTGTCCATTTCTTGATGTTGTCATTCCAGGTTCTTCTTTGCCTTCATCTTCTAATAACAGCTAGATCATATACAACTTACTGCTTGTATGCCTGCTCTGCTGCTATTTTCTCTGCACTGACATCTTCCAGTTTCTCTTCAGTTTGCTGTACTTTTGCTTCATACTCTGTTTTCACAGCCAACGCATTCTATGAAGAACAAACACAATTATACTTTTAACAGACATTACAACAGGCACCGGAAACCGACAAGTCACATACTGCAATAGGGGTTTAATGTGAGAGGCCGTCACATAGTTTTTGTAAATTTTATGATAAATCTGTGTACTGAAAAACTGTGTTGGGTCTGTTTAATGACATGTATATGAACACTGGACAGTGAGAAACAACAATTTAAAAAAAAACTGCCTAACATAAGTACCAGTGTGTTACAGACATCACCATTCAGTCTAAACAAGTGTGAGGCTACAATCATATACTAATATGGCATAAAGCATATGAAAGTGCTCTTTACTGGGTTTTCTCGCTTTCTGTGGAAACAATATAATAACAATTGTTTACCATACGTTATTTGTTATTTCTTAACCTCTCCGCTCATCTAGCCATTGTTCCAATGGCATGAGAAGGTTCCTTTATAATTGTTGACCATGTGTTATTTGTTTTTTCTTAACCTCTCCCCTCATCTAGCTGTTAAACTAACTATTTTTATCTCAGCTGTATAGCTTAAACTTTTGTCAGATGGTTACATTATTTTTAACTCATTTAGTCATAGGATATCTAACTTTACAGTAACTGCTGCTTGTTAATATGTGAAAGTGGCAACTTCTTCTTCTTCGTTTAACGTTGACCACTTTAAGCTAGGTCAGAAAACATTGCTGCTCTCTTTCCTGTCCGCTATATTTTTGGTGACATTTCTGGTCCTCATCTCATCTGGTTTCGAATTGTGCTTGAAGTGGCAACTGTGGGGCATGAAGGGGTGAGTAACAATATCTTTTTTATTCTTCTTTGTGCTCATTGGCTGTAAAAGCTGGAGGAAAGTTTTCGCTGGTCGCCCACGTTTCGACTTTGGTTTTCTTCCTTCTTCTTCTTCTTCTTTTTCGCGTTTACCGGCTTTTACTCCGGCGGAAAGTTCTGGTTGTTCATTAGTCTTTGGACTAAAGTCTTGTTTTACAGTGTTGCATGCACATCTGTTTTACATATCTGACTTAAGTGGTTGAAAGCACAAGAAATTGTTAAGAGGTGGCACCCTGATAGAGTCCTAGTTAACAAGTGTGTTAACTTATACAATGTTAACAGTATCAAACATTTGATCAAAATTAAAAATGGTCACCAACACCAGAGCATTCTGCAGTGCTAGCTGTTGACAAAAACTAACGACCCCAAACCCTCTACAAGTGGTGAATGGCTATGATATGAAACACCATAAAGGATTCCTGATGTTATCATGGAAGGTGACACCTTGCAAGCCATAATCTCAATATATTCCCTTTCTCCACCTTCTTGTATGCGCTATGTCACCATTTTAATCAAGTTACATTTTATATAATGTTTGCAGATCTTTTTTATTTACTTATGTTGGTATTAAAATATGATCGTCATGTCTTACTATCTTTGCAGTGTATTGTATTTAAAAAAATATATTTTTGAATTTTAGTTTGCTGGACCCTGGAACAGACTAATTTAGTTTCCATTATTCTCAATGGGGAAAAATTGCCTTGGAACTCAAACAATTTGGAATTCAAACACCATCTTGGAAATGATTATGTTCAAATTCTAAGGTACCAATATTTAAGCAAAACAGCTAAATAAGTAAAATATAAAATAACAGATAAGGGGGAAAGAGTTGTAAATGGACATTTCTGCTTGAGACCTGGTAGCAACAGAAGAAGAGAAAGAATCAACAGATAAATATTTTTTCTAAAAGAGCCACATACTATTTTCATCCATTGAAATCATGTGTTTACTAAAACGTAGGATTACTTTCGGGCGATAATTTTACAAACCGCAAAAATTCTCACATAATTATCACCATGGCAGGCAGACTATCAGCTCCGACTTTGGGTAACCTCTCCCCTGGATCCTAGGTTTAACTTCTCCCCTGGGTCCTAGGTTTAACTTCTTCCCTGGGTCCTAGGTTTACCATCTCCTCTGGGTCCTAGGTTTAATGTCTCCCCTGGGTCCCAGTTGTAACTTCTCTCCTGGGTCCTAGGCTTACCATCTCCCCTGGGTCCTAGGTTTAACTTCTACCCTGGGTCCTGGGTTTAACTGCTCCCCTGGGTCCTGGGTTTAACTGCTCCCCTGGGTCCTAGGTTTAGGGCTAGGGTTAGGGCAATATTACAATTACGATACCACCACCAGAATCTGTCGCAACAGTCCAACCGTGACACTAACGATTGATGGGTTATAAATGACATGAGCGCAATGTTATGAAAGTGGGACTAGTCACGCGATTTGCCGCCCACCCCTGGTGTATTCGCCGGACAGACATCCTAATTTTAATTTTACACACCACTGAGGCCTTGTTAGGGTATATTTTTAGATACGATCGCCCAGACCCATCATTCAGAGGAGAGCCGCTATGTTCATTATAAACATTTTCCCTTACTGAAAACAGCAGAAAAGAACTGTCTACATAAGTACCTGTAAACTGACAAAATAATCCTCTTCCACTGGCACCTCAAGCTGCTCTAGATACAGCTGCCAAGGTTTTAATTGCTGCTGCAGATTCTGACATTTGTCCCATAAATACAGAACAAGGGACTCCAAGTCTCCATGATTCCAAGGGAAACAACTCTCAGAATCTAGCTGCTTCCAGATTTGTTTGATGTCAATAGCTTGCTGTGAAGGCATGCAGGATACAAAATGGGTGAAATAAAAGCTAGGGTGACCATAAGTCCAGTTATCGCTGGGACAGTATCAGGTTGTTTTTTTTTTTTTTACATTTTTTTTTTAAAAAGACCGTCCTGTAAATAATTTTAAAAAAAAAAACATCAATTGGAACAATATACTTTTTTTTTACTGACCAGACTGTCCAGGCCTACCTTAAAAAAAAAATAATTTCTGGCAATATGGTCACCCTAATAAACACACACACTACAAATCACATTAACCAGACACTACACTATGATCACAATGGCAGATAAAGAAGTCATTTTAAAGAGATCTAATTCTCAATTCTTTTTTTATTCTCAGTTCTCCTTTTTCCAAAATCTCAATCTTCAAATTTATTTAATTTGGCTACAAAACTGGCTGACGAACTTTACCAATTACATACTGTACGTTTTCCCCTCCAGTTAGTTAGTTAGTTAGTCGTTACGGTTCCGGCATCACAGCAAACGAGTTTGGCCCATAATTGTTCAACCGCCTATGCCAGTGAGTCCAGTCACAAACTGAGTCGTACACTCTGGATACTTCAAGTGAATGCCGTAGCCATACAGAGTGTCCTGAGTTAGCAAAATACACACGATTTGACCTGGCAAACCATAAGGTGCATGCCTCCTTAAACACACTGCGAGACCTGGCGTCATTGCTGAAGATCAACTTCATTCGACGAATAGCTGGGCAATGAGTAAATTAAAACTATTCCTGGCCATTCTCCACTTGTCCTCATCCAAGTTGCAGCCACGACCAGCAAATAAATAGCAGTCTTCTTCTTTCGTTCGCCTGAAATAAGTTATCTATATCAGCAGTTTTGTCTCTTGTATAAATTTCACTGTCGTTGTTAGTTCATTCAGTGGTCCATAGAGTTTACGTTCCACTGTTGTTCTTTCTGGCCAAAAGGTTTGCCTTAATGTGTCAAATTCGGTGCAGTCCTGGAGTACATGGTCTGCGGTCTGGGGCACATTTCCACAGGTGCACATGGCTGATACACCTATCTTGAATTTTGTGTACATGTGGTTACGTAATCGGTTGTGCCCTGTTCTGAGGCGGAAGATAATGACTTGTTCTGGTCTGTCCATAATAAAATATTCGTCTTGTGCTGGGGCTGGTGGTTTCCTGATCGATTTAATGATTCTTTTCTTTTGGTGGTATGTGACTGGTACATCTGGCTGCTCTTTTTTCGCACCTTCCCCTGCCAGTTGATCAGCTTTCTCATTTCCAGGCACTCCACAATGAGACGGTATCCACTGCATTACGACTCTTCGCTGAACGCTGAGTTGTGTCAGCAGTGTTTGCAATTCTGGTAGTTTCCTAGACTGGAGATAAATAGCAGTTATAGCACACGCCTTGTCCAAGTTACACATCGAAGGAAAATACATCACCCATCATTGCCATTATGTACGAATCTGGAACTCAGTCAATAACCAATAATCACAGCTCATAGTGCCGCCAGGAGCACTAAACTCAGTAGCTCCGGCTGCAAACCGGACTTCCCAAATCTTGCAACATCGAAACTGGAGGAGACACGGCCACGAGAACGATCCAAATATAAGCCAAGTTCTCAACCGTCATCCACTCCCTATCAATGTCAGAACCTTACAGGCTTAAACCTAACAATATTATCATGCTTGCAACTTTAGGACTAGCACCCTGGATAAGAAACTAACAGGGTAAGTTTCCAGATGTTTAACCTTCTCAGCTGTTAAAATGGTGGTACCCCTATAAAGTACTGCTCTGGTCTATCCAGTCGTGTACAGGTAAGGATTATTAATATATACATTTTCACATAAAGTTATTAATTTATTAAACTGCCTTCATTTAGCATTTTAACTATGCCTCAAAATATACTAAATTTAATAACAAGAAGCTTTTTTTCCTTACAATTAATTTTGTGATCATTTTGTCCATTAAACTGGCCAGCCATTCTAAGTGATCAATTAAAGTATACTGTGACAATTTTTCTCAGAAATGTGGTTTAACAGAAGAAAGCTCAACTTAAAATTCAACAGAAAAACAAAGTGATCTCAAAGTTTTGAAACATGCTGAGACCCGAAAACATCACAAACCTCATAAGAAGTGAACAACTTGAATATACTGTGAAAACTGAAAAGATTTATGGAAAGAAAGATATTTGTGTGTGAGTTTTGGTGCCGGATTTTAGGCATGCGCCCCCCCCCCCCCCCCCCCCCCCCCATCAAAGTCCAGACACATGGACAAACAGAATGAACTTTCTAGATTCGTTTACAGCATGTGAATGCTAAGAAAGAAAGAGAAATAGAGACTGACAAAAGGAGAAAATTTCTGACAGCCTTCTGTCATGGCCTAAAAGTGTGTCAGTACACATTTTACATGCTGATTGATATCACAAGATGTGGAGAAGCATAATTACCAATGCCACTTAGAGAAACAAAATATAAATCAGTATACAAACGCACATTATTTGTGTGCATGCATCAGTCTATTTCTCTGTGTGTGCAGATACGATTTTCACACACATACACCCACCCACAGAGATGGGAAGTGCATTGATTTGTATTGCCTGTCTGGCTACTTTCTTAAATGGGAACGCAGCACTCATGGAATGTAAGAGGAGAACAAAAGATATTTGTCTTGAGATTGGAAAATTTTAGCCAAAATAAATTTAAAAAAAAGCTTTAGCTGCAAAATTCAACCTCTCATAACAAAAAGCTTGCTTTGCACTGGGTGAGACCCTGCACTCCACTGAGAGACAAATGGCAGAAGAAGACAGTTTCCACAAATTCTCTCTCTCCCCCCCCCCCCCCCCCCCCCCCCCCAAAAAAAAAAAAAACTGGTTTAAGTATTTTGAATGTTTGTTTTAGGAAATATTAACTCTTTCAGTCCCAGGGAGTTTTGCATCATAGGCCCAAGGGTAGTAAACAGAGATGTAAATTAGGTGCATTGAGCATTCATTAGGCTTCTAGGTAGGAACCTGTGAACATATGATGCGTTCCTTGGGACTGGAAGAGTTAAACATTTAATCTGTGCTACATTTATAAATATATATATACACACACACACACACTTACATATACAAACATGTATAATTTGATATTTGTGACCCTCTTACATTTCTTTAATTAAAAGTGTAAAACAAAGTGTAAATGTGCAAAACAGTTCTCACAACACCAGAATTACTGCAAAATTTGTAACCATTTCACCCCATTAGATACTATAGGAAGACAAGAAGAAGAAGAAGACTGGAGTCCTGGTCAGTTTTTATAAAAATAAAGGGGGCTGAAACCTGTGACCACAACAGCAGACAGGCAAGCCTGAAGGCCTCTGCGATATCGAGGCATAAATTCACCCAAATAATTCATGTGAACTTAAAAAATTTATTTTATGTGCGAATAATTTTTTTTTTTCAGTAAAGGAATGAAATCAATCAATATAAATGAAGCAAAAAATGTATTGCTTTTTTCTTCTGACCTGATAAATGTGTTTTGTTGACAGCTATATGGAGCAACTTGATGTCATAATGAGATTATTTTTAGTGTAGCGATAACATAACAGTTTGTAAAACGCAAATATTCTTATTTAAAAAAAAAAAAAAATTCTATAAGTATACGAATTGCGACTATACATACTGCTGCTGTATTCAGCACTAAATTAAAACATGTATATCATAAAAACCTGTAAAAGCCAGAAAAACAGCTTTCTCGGTGTGACATGGTTAAAATGTGAACTATATGTGTAACAATGAACAACCCAATGATTATGAAGATAAAGGAAAAAAATGTGTCTCAAATTTAACAAATATGAGAAATAGTCTTCTCTTGTCTATCTGCTGCTGTGTTAGCAGATCTTGTTTCCTGTACTGGATCAGACCTTGTCACATGGCATTTGGGAAAGCTGCAGTTTCCTGTTCTAGCACTAGGTATATTGTGCTGGTTACGGCGAACCTGTCTTGTAAGGTACAGATAATGGGGATAAGGAAAGGATACCAATAATCTTTATAGTTCTTCATGTGATTTCCCTATTTTGGTGGCAGGTGTTTAAGATTCTTCTCACTGTTGTTTATTTGTTGATAGAGACTCTGGTCAAAACTTCCAGGTAGATGTGAATGCAATTTTCCCTTCCTGTCTAGACTTCCTGATCGTAGTTTGTATTTGTTCTTCTTGTGCATTTGTCCTTAAATCGGCAGTTGGAACACTGTGTTGTGCTTAACAGCTAGACTATGATACATGCATCTTTCAACCAAACATATTCAATTTCAGCAAACTTATAAACAGTTTCCTTTTACAACACGCTTGTTAGGGGGAAGTGAGTCTATTCTCCCCCCCCCCCCCCCCCCTCAATTCTCAAATCAAAGGTCAGCAAGATCTGAACCATTGCTGACTGAACATCAGAAGTTAACTTTCATTTCATATTTTCAAATCAAAGATAGTAAGGTTCTATCAACAAGATATCATATCCTCAAACCCTTACCTTTCTGCTGCTGCTACGTCGATCATAAGGAATGCTATAATCCTTAGCATCCTCATCAGGCAATGTTAATCGGAGGTGGAGATTTTCCTCCCGTAATTCACTTGCCCTTTGCTGTAATGTTCTGGTTTTCTCTTTTTCCCTTTTCAACTGTCTGTCTAATTCCTTTACTTTAGTCTGTTAACAGTTGTGCAACAATGTTTACAAAAGTTGATAGAAGAAAATATAACATTATTATATGTAACAAATGAAATACTTTGTATTCTTTTACAACAAAATCTTTTATTAATAAAAATGTTTATAATGGAAAGGGACCCATAGTATTGTAATGGCTAGGCACTTGCGTGCCAGACCAAAGGTCTAGAGTTCAAATCTGCAGCAAGAAACGCTTTTTCTTTCCAAACTGGTATCTTTTTTTGTTTAGAAAAAAGTCATGGGTGAAGCCAAACAAGAACATTATGCACAAGGCTCAACAAAAAAGATTGTCAAGCAACAGTCACTGACAGGATGCTGAAAATATCACAAGCACAGTGTCGATTAGTCTACAAAATTTCATTCTAGCACTATATGCCCGTTGTACCCCTGGGATAAAAGGGTTCTATAATTTGTTCTTCTCTAATACAGACGTGGTGCAACCAGTCACTAAACATTATGGGATGGTGCGGTGGTGATCCAAGCACTTATGGACAGAATGGTTTGATGTGCAGTTATGATAAGCTTTCAACTAATTAAAAACTGAATGACACTTCTTCTTCTTAAAGTCTATGCTGTGTGGCATTGGTAGTCATGTCAATCCACAACCTTCTGTCTCGTGTACTTTCAGATAACTCAGACACAGATGATCCTCTATGCCATGATATCAAACCGCATCTTTTCTCTTGGTCTCCCTCTGCATCTCCTCCCCCTCCTTCCCTACGATGTACTCCAGTTTTCTCCTTCTCATCACATGACCAAAGAATGTAGATTGTCTCTTTCTCATGTGGGCAATCAGTTCTCTTCATGAGTCAGTTTCTTTCAAGACATCTTCATTCCTCTTTTTATCTGACCAGGGTATTTTCATAATTCGTCTATAAAACTACATCTCCACAGCTTCAAAATAATTTTTCACTTATCTACCAAATGTCCATGATTCACTTTTGTATATCAAGATAGGATTTATGAATTTTCTTTCTCGTCTCAACTGACAAAGAATGACTGCACAAAATCTTCTTCATTTTGTAAAATTCTGTCTTTGTTTGAGCTATTCTACGCTTAACTTCCTTAATACATCTTCCATCTAATGTTATCAGGGTGCCCAAGTACTTAAACATATCAACTTGCTTGAGGTTTGTCCTATTTAATTTAATGCTGCATTACACTAGTGCATTATAAATCAACAAGAGAAGAAAAATTGTTAACAAAAAGGAAACTTACTTGCAGCTTAGCATTTTCTGTCAGCAACTTCTCCTCAATATGAGACAGATTGTTAGCTCTATCTGCCCGCTCTTGGGCTAAACGTTCCTCTGTCACATGGAGGCGTATCTGAAGTGCTTCCATCTATCAAACAGACATGCACTTGTACAATAAAGCTGCCCTTGATAAAAATCTCAGCATGTATGCACCAATGCCATAAGAACATGCCTGGATATTCTGTGTAACTACCACATGCATAAAATAAAGACTGTACAGTCCCCACAATGTGCCTGTCAAACAGGACCACAAACATCTGAGCACATTCTGCAGACCTGCTCACTCTACAAACAACTTTGAAAAGAAACCTGGCCTCAAGAGCAAAGTGTGCAGAGCAAGCTATGGGAAACAAAGAAGTCCCTGAACCTGACATGCGAGTTCACAGAGGCAACTCCCCTGATGGTCTGACCTTAGTATATGAAACCGAAAGCAAAGAAGAAGAAGATACTGTGTCAAAGTCATTTTAAGTCTAAGTAAAATATCTGTTCTTTCTTTTTTATTTTCAAAGATATTTTACTTATTTTGAGCAGAGGTTTTGGAAAAAATTCAACACTGAGGGACAAACACCAGCAGACTTTTAGTTAGGTTTCAATTTGTACTATCAGCATTATGACTCTCTGATGACTACTGAGAAAAGAGACAGAGCACATGTGGGAATGTCCCGTGTGCAAAGATGTCAGTTCTTGAATTATTCATAATGTGGTTTTAAAAAAAAAAAATTTCCCTATCTGACACTTTTATCAGTTGACTCTTTTCATAATCTCTTTCAAAATTTTTCAGAATATTCGTTCCTTGAGTCAAAGAAACGTGGCGCGGTGATTTCGGTCACAGGCATGAGGCAAAGTTAAGTCTGATGTGAGGTGTATAAGGAGATACTCCGTACCCCACTCGGGCGCCAGTCCTTCACTGTTCTGGTTTTACGGAACCTCATGCAAGACTCCTGTTGCACGTCCCCGTCGTGCGCCACGGATAATGTCTCAATTCAGCATTAACAGAGTTGGCAGGGGATCTCGGAGCTGGTGGCCCCTAGAGGTGTAGTGTCCTTTCTGGCTCTCACCAGCCCGCCCCCAAACGCATGGGTGAAAAGTCTAACAAAACTCAAAGTTGCTTGCTAAATGTACCATCAAATGACAACTCTTGGTTAAAATTCGGGAGGTAATTCAAAACTGTGCTGCTGAGACTCAACCCTGACCGAGAGATTTACCCGCAGCCAAGACGAGTAACATCTCTTGTGGGCGACTTCTCGCAGCAAGATCCTACCTACGTACATCCTCAATCCTCAGTGTCGTCGTCACCGCGCTGAGGTACACCACGGCAGCAACTTTTCATATGCTGGCTTGGAAATAATGTCCGACAAAGTTATACCCCACGGCACACATGCAAGCTCAGAGTCCGACGATCATAATTCGTACCGATTAGGAAAAAGTCCGAATGTCCGTATCCACTGGTCTAACTCGCCCGAGTGTTGGAACAAAACAGGTGAAGCCACGCCTGATGCATTTTGCTTCCCCATTCTGTCGTGCTAAGGGCACAGCTGAAACAACGTTAAAGGTGTCTAACGTAAGATGAAAAAGAATGTACCTATTTGTGTGGCCACAAACGTCCTAGACCTGCTGGCTGCTCCCCGCTGATCTCCGGAGAGCGCAGCCTTGTAGCGCGGGAAGCTCAATACACGGTTGTGAGGTTAAGCAGTCATGGGCAGGACGTGACGATTCCTTGGGTGAGCCCAGAACCAGAGCATCATGTGTCGGCTCTGCATTTATGGAAGCCTCCTTGGATGGCGGGGAATGCCCATGATCTGCCCCTGCTTTCTCTTGAGGGCTGAAAACTCTACATAGAGCTGTCTTAAGGACGACATGCCGGGGGCCACACCTGTTAAAAGTCAAAGAGGACACCACACAAATAAGGCAACATCTCAACCCACACAAAACAATGGCCACAGTCAACCTAGAAATAGGCTTGACGTCTTCCTCCGAAGTCGGAGTACATCTGCCGGAGAGGCGGGGAACGAGTACTGCAAACAAATAAGCCAGTAAAACGGATGTACACGCAAAACTCAGGTCAAGGTAAAAGCCAAAAGTCCATTTTGGACGAACAACCGTGACTTACCGCCGGAATTCACAGCCGGTGAACAAGAAGAAGAAGAAGAAGAGTCAAAGAAACTTACAGCATTCTTCTGTAGTGAATAATCTAGAAGCCTTAAAGTGTTTTGTTGCTGCTCGTTTACTAACTGTCCTTAATTCAAAGCCATATGTTAAAACAGGTACTATTCAACAAGCAAACATTCTCAAACTTTTTTTTTCTAACCATCTTCTCTTTCTTCGATCTTTCAGTCAGAAAAACAAATCAGAGGCCAGTAACTTTAATGAAAGCTATCATTCAGTCCTGATAGTGTGTGTGTACTATACAGCTTTGTCTTCAAAGAGGTTGAATCAGGTCAGACTGTTTCTCTGTTAGCAACATACAGCTGACAGTGTTGCAGTACATGCTCAAGATATTTAGATGCCAAGTCTCAGTGACACATCTCCATGTTTCCTAGACAGAAAAATGTTATAACCTTCGGCAACAGGAATGTATACCCTCAGATCATGTTTTTTTTTTTTTTTTTACAGATTTAGCACGTACTATTCTGTTCTTTATCTGTGATACATCTTCAATCTGATGTTATGCATGTGCAGCAATATCATGTCAATTTTTTTTAAATTTTCATTTAGCAAGATTTCTGCTTTTGTTTTTTCTTGAAGTCTTCAGTTCACATTTGAAAAAAAAAAAAAGAAAGAAAGAAAGAAAGAAAATACATGTGCAAATCTCTAAAACTGCAGACACAAATACAGATCATGAATTCATATACAAAAGAAAAGCCTCACTTGTTTCTCTAAGGCACTGCTTCTACAGTTGGCCTCCTCAACACGCAAATGACGTAGTTCTTGAACCTCTGTCAGCTTGTGCAGTTGTCCAATACAATCTTTGGATTGAACAGCTTCAGCCTGCACTGCATTCTCACTTTCCACCAGCAGATGCTTGAGACGTGCTATTTCATCCTTAAAACAAAAACAAAACAAAAAACAGACACTGAGACTAAGATTGTACTAGAAGTTTTGTGTGCATTAAATAACATATTCTTTAGATAAGAAAGAAACCAGAACAAACTCTTCCAACAAACAGGCTTTCATGGTTAAATGTTTTTCTTCTTCTTCTGGTTGGCATAATGTGTCATTATTGCTAGGCTGCAATATCTACACCTTTTGGCCCAACCTATTCCATTTCAGCAAATACTTAATTAGTCACCTTTTGGCCCAACCCATTTGATTTCAGCAAACACTTAATTAGTCAGCTTTTGGCCCAACCCATTCCATTTCAGCAAACACTTAATTAGTCAGCTTTTGGCCCAACCCATTCCATTTCAACAAACACTTAATTAGTCACCTTTTGGCCCAACCCATTCAATTTCAGCAAACAACTGTTCACCTTTTGGCCCAACCCATTCCATTTCAGCAAACACTTAGTCACCTTTTGGCCCAACCCATTCAATTTCAGCAAACAATTAGTCACCTTTTGGCCCAACCCATTCCATTTCAGCAAACACTTAAATATTTATCTTTTGGCCCAACCCAGTCAATTTCAGCAAACACTTAATTAGTAACCCCCCCCCCCCCCCCCCCACCACACCACACCACACCCCCCCCCCCCCCTAATCCCTTTTTTTCCCCTCAAAAAGAATAGGGAAAAACCATCACTGGGAAGTTTTTGTTCTAATGCAAAGGGAAACAGATAAAAAGTCTGATGCTAAAAGGTAGATGCAGTCCCACAGCCATAGCTGGCATTAGGCCTGTACATTGTACACAATTTAGGTCATACCTTACAAGGTGAATGTACACACACTTGTTAAAAAGTCAGTAAAGGACATTTTCTACACACTAAAGGGCATGCAGTGTGAGATGTATACTTCTACAGACTATGCAGTGTGAAATGTATACTTCTACAAACTATGCAGTGTGAAATGTATACTTCTACAGACTATGCAGTGTGAAATGTATACTTCTACAAACTATGCAGTGTGAAATGTATGCTTCTATAAACTATGCAGTGTGAAATGTATACTTCTACAGACTATGCAGTGTGAAATGTATACTTCTACAAACTATGCAGTGTGAAATGTATACTTCTACAGACTATGCAGTGTGAAATGTATACTTCTACAAACTATGCAGTGTGAAATGTATACTTCTACAGACAAACTATGCAGTGTGAAATGTATACTTCTACAGACAAACTATGCAGTGTGAAATGTATACTTCTACAGACAAACTATGCAGTGTGAAATGTATACTTCTACAGACAAACTGGCACTCATCAGGTGATGACGGGAACATTATGCTGGCCCAACAAAGACAGGACTGACCTGCAAAGTCTGAATCTCTTGTTTATGTGACTCGTGTAGTTTACTCTTGTCCAGACCTAACCTCATGGATTCAGACTCCTGTTTCACCATATGAAGCTGTTCTTCCAACAAAGAAATCTGCGAAATAGTATACAATTGTGGTGAACACATGGAAAAATCACAAATATTCTTTAGAAATATAAATTATGTTACAGCATATTTCAGATATGGGGCACTGTGGCTGTGAGGCTTGTGAATGTGTTTAATAATTTCTGAATCCTCAAGTGCTAGGGTTCAATTTCCGTGACAGACAGTTTATTTGTGAGATAAAACGCAACTGTGGTTTTCAGAAAGCAAAATGAGCGTTGTACCATGGAAAAGATTGGGACCTCACCAGGTAATATTTCCACAAACAGCATAGGGTGGGCTGTAGCCAACCTTCATTGTGGAAACAGCACACTTTTTTTTTCTTTAAATCTTAATTTTGTGTGATTTACAAATATGAGGGAGGGGGGGGGGGGGTCTATTCTTTGTCCACCAAAACAGGGTGATCCAGAACCCACTCAGGCACCTTCCCAGACTATTTCCAACTAATTATAAACCGTGTCTGCCACACATTTTGTAGGCTGAGGGGACTCCAAAGCCAGAACAAATCATTCTACCTCTGCTGATTCAAACAAGACCACCCTGTGTGGATTGTAGGGCCCATCTGAGGAGGAAGGGGGGAGAATAATCCCACGGGTGCTTAACAAGCATGCTGTAACAGGCAATTATGTAGAGGTTTACTAAAATCAGATGCACTGACACTAAAAGGCACAGATATCACAGCTGTAAACCACAATCTGTCTTGGCAGGCTAGTAAGTGTATTAAACAGTATCATTATTACCCTACTGTCACACTGCAATCACTGTGTATTCCTCATACCATTATATCTTGTGCAGTTCTTTTGATACAAAAGAAATTAGCTCAGAAAGAGACCTCATTACCTGCATCAGACGGTATAGATTCTTTGGTCACAAGAAGTAGAAAACTGAAGCTTATCATGACCGTGGGGAAGCTAGAGGGGGAAAGAGACAAAGGGGGACTGAGAGAAAAGATGCTGGATAGATGCTAGAGATCATGGCATGGAAGATCATGTTGGAAATGATTGAAAGTACACCAGACAGAAGGCTGTGCATTGCTGACGTTCTTTATTAATATCCTACCCAAAATAACATCACAGGACAGTCCAACATTTTAGAGGGTGGTAAGACTGGGTTTCCTAGCATTCTGATGCTTTTAACGACCCCAAAACATCTAGAACTGACACTAACCCCAATGCACCTACATCCCACGAGAAAGTGCAGCCTAGGTCCCACGAATGCATGCAGCCTATCTACCACCCCCTGAAATATTAGACTGTCCCGCGACCTGTTGATTTTCCCTGTTTGGGGTAGGATATTAATAAAGCACCTAGCTGACTTCCAACACCACACAGAATAGATTATAAGAAGAATTTTCACATTTGAATTTTCCTTTTTTTAATAACTTCTTCCATTAACAAACTAAACACTGATGGTCACCTCTGATTTTAACATCTCTACTCGCTTTGTAGAAGTGGCAGCCTTTGCTTTGTAGCTTTCAAGTTCTCTCAACATCTCTACCTGCACAGTGTGTTTTATATGGACAGTTTCATTTTCTAGTTTTTTTTGCAGGTCACTAAGTTCATTCTGGGTGTCTCTCAGCCTGGTTTTCAGTTCTGTAATTTGAGCTGAAACAAACAAAAATGTCTGGAAGTTATGACGAATACAGATTCTAGAGAGCACTATCATGTATCTCTGGATGGCTTTAGGCTTCTGATGTCTCTGACAAGTGAAATACTGCTGTGTATCTTTGCTGTGTCAGTGTAAATAATTGTCTTTGTCTCTCCCAAAGCCTCTATCTCCCTCATGTGTGTGTGTGTGTGCATGTGTGCATGTATGAGTGTGTGTGAAAACAGAGAGACAGAAAAACAGACAGGCAGATACAGCAGCAAGTACAGAGAGACAAAGACAAAGAAAGACGGACTGAAGCAGTGGACAAACAGAGCAGACAAAAAGATAAAACAAGCAATCAAACATTTAGTTGCTACCTCCTGCAGTGTTGCAACACCATACTGTTTATTTCACAAATGTCTCATTCAAAAATAAATATATACTTCTTCTTCTTCTTAGCGTTCACTGGCTGTAAACTCCTGCAGACAATTCTGGCTGTTTGTCCACTTCTGAACTGTAGTCCTGTTACAGAACCTGAGGTTCGCGTACACATCTGTTTTACATATCTGGCTTATTTGTATGCAGGCCTTTGGTTCCTCACCTCTTAGGCAGGCGCATTCTGACTTTGAAGGAAATATTCCTAATTAGTCAGCTCTTACGACATGTTAGTTAGGCGGCAGTAGGTTTGTTGCCCACAATGTCGTCCCGGAACCTGATTCATTCAACTGTCTCCCTGATGTAATTCAGTACATCTGCTGGTCCATATCTACCCCAGATTATTCTTTATCTTCTGCACTTACTCTTAAAAGGGAGGTTGGCATGTTGCTGTTTACATCTAGGCTGTGCTATCTGCATCAATCATCTCACCACAATCGATTTTGGCAAACTCTAAATATTCGCTTTCTACAAGATGCTTCTGGTGGAGTTTGGGGAGTGTTGGCAGTGGGTATACACCCTCCCCCCCCCCCCCCCCCAAAGGGCCCCAGAATCCACAAAAGAACTTGTCTCAGATGATCTACACTTAATCAAAGATAACCACTAATAAAAGAAAGAAAAAAGGACTCACCAACAGCCCTGGAGTATTTATCCTTCAACAGCTTGTTTTCCAACAATAAAGTGCAGTTTTCCAAACTCAACTTTTGCAGTTGGTCCCCTAGCATATCCTGATTGAGTGTAAACAAGTGTAATAATATGTATGATCAAAAGGCCTAAATACTGCAGATGCACGCACTCCGACTTCAAAGGAAGCTCCCAATTAGTCAACTCTTACAACATGCTTTTGGGGAGGCAGTGGGTCCATTTTTGTTTTCCCTATAATGGGGCCCCAAAACAAACACAGGGAAACTTATGTATACAATAAACAGACAAACTAAGAAACCTCTAGTGGCAGCAGCAATGAGATTACACCCCCCCCCCCCTCCCCCACAATGCAAAGAATACCATGGATGGAACAAATGAATGAAGGAGTTTTTCAAATCACCAATAAAAAGAGTAAATAATAAAAGACAATTTTGGGGATATGAGTAAACACGTTTAAAAACATTAACATCTGACCCTCTTGGATACTACTGGACCCTTTTTGCCTTTAGGCGTACTCAGCAAATAGTGCTAAACTATAGAGAAATAGCTGCAGCGACACCTGGATAATCTCAGCATAGCAGAAACGGTAGCAACAACAAACTATGAAAGTTAACACTGAAAATGTGTTTATTTATGACAACTGCAAGAACAGACAAACCAATCAAGATATGGGTAGAAAACTAACAACTCAAGGAAGCAAAAGACTTCAAGTATCACAATTAAACAATCAAACAAGCATTCAGTCAGCATGTCCTTTACAGAAGGTTGCTCTCTTCACAGCACACTTGAAAGTCTCTCTTTCTCTAGCCAATTCTCCAGCCCAGTGAGCTTTCATAGCCTCAAGTATTTAGGAAGAAATCATGCAATGGAGGAATCAAAGCAGAGGCAGATCACAGATGTAATAAAGCAAATCAATCATTGGAAAAATGTCATCAATTTTGCAAAACATGAAACAACTGACACTAACAGAGCACTACTCAATACAGTTTTTTTTTTAATCAGCACTGTGTTATCAGTGTCTTTTTTTTTTTAAAGTATCATGAACCCATGAGTTAAAACCCTTTGGCCTAGTACTATGGATATCACAGCCCTTCAGCCTTGATTCTATGATAGAACCGTAAATCTAGGAGGAATGTGGCTTTTTTGCCTACCCCCGGGCGTAAACCCGGACTACAAGGAGTTTGTCACCTGCTCGCTGCATAATCCGATTTAGCAACTGGGCTAGCGAGCTGGGTGTTATCAGTGCCTAAATGTTACTAAAAAAGACAGGATCAGAAATGAAGATAGTAGGAAAGAAATTGGGACAGAACCAGTATTTAAATCAAGAGACAACAGATCAAGTGGTTTGGAAGTGCATCAAGACTACCACCAGACAGTGCACCTCAGAAAGCCCTGTCACTTAGATACAATGGATTGTGGTCACAATGGACGCTAGGCATGGTCAGTGTTTTGAATCGTGGCAAATTTGTTGCTTCTACCAGATGGCGGCCATTGCCTTTTTGCTCCATTTGTAGGCTGAAAGGATAAAGTTTCGTCGCCCAGCTACTGAGTTAAGTGCAAATGGGGCAACAACGTGAGCCGCAGATTTTTTTGGGAATGTTTTTAGACTGTAACCAATGTGATGTTGTGAATTACAGATTCAGAAAATGGCGCGATGCCTGTTGTCGCAATATTGGTGGTGCCATTATATGATTAAAATTGATCGCGCGTGCAACTGCTGGTCTGTTGGTGACTTCTGCTACCATCAGTGATGAACTGCATTTCTAATGTCAGACTGTTTGTGTCAGCACTTCAGATGTTTACATGTTTTTATTGCGTGTGTATGCCAGTGCATGTGCTGAGACAGCAGTCTGTCAATCTTTCCACAAGGCACTGTGATAAACATTCTGTGCGTTTTTCATTGGCACAGGAGCGGAGCAGCTATGGGGTGACCCATCTGCTATGAAGCTGAAACTAAGATTACCAAGATATAATGAAAGCAGTCCTAGAGGTCGACAATGCAAACAAGGATAAGAGAGAAAATCTGAGGTCATAAATAACTGCATCTATAAAGCATTTACTAAGGTTCTCACTCGACTCCTCTTCAAAATCTGACGATAGGCAATACAGGACTATTTAAAAAAAAAGAAGAAGTGCTAAACCTAAATTTTATAGACCAATCAGTCCTCAGTGGGTGATGTGGTCACACACAACACTAGCCGCCTCTATTTCTCAGGACTATATAACAATTACATTATAGTGGCTCTCTCAAGACGCAGATAACAGTAAATAATTACAGAAAATAATTTTCTTTTGACATGTGTAAATACATTTAGAAGCAACAACATCTGGCACAATGGACAAGTAAGGAATAAGAATCAGCAGCAGATAAGCAAATATTTCAACCACAAGACGATAGCTGGATTCAAAACAATGTTGGCCATGTGATGGTCATGTGAGGCGTAAATCATAACTACTGGGTTTTTTTTCAAACGGGACATCATGATAGTTTACGTGATAAATGGTGGATGTTTTCTTCAAAACTGACCTTGGCTGCAAGGTCAATCCAGAAAAAAATAGGTATAAGGTAATTGCCTGGGAAGTAAAGGCAGCCAGCAAGATGATTATCAGAGTACCAATTGACTTATAAAACTATGAGCCTAACACTGCATGACAGGTGAACCTGTGGCATAAAAGACCGGTTTTACTTACTATTTACTGATTTAAGATTCAACATCATAGCACACTGGGCAGCAAATGTCTTAAGGTGCTGATGCTAACTGTTCCCATAGCACACTGATTATAAACATCGAAATTCTAATTCACACATTTTTACACGTGTTTTTTTTTTAATTTCATGTATTCCATCAGTGTTTGATCACACATGGTCTTCAGAATGTCTCTTTTGTCAAATAAAAGTGTTTCGCAGCTATCACTTTTGTAGCCAGAAAATCTGTTCTTTCATTTCCTCATACTCCTGCATATTCCCAGACGTACATACGTATGAGTCTCTGTAATGTGGAATACTGGTGCTTGGTATCCAATCATTCCAAATTTGCCTATTCTGAACACTCCTCAGTACTGCCCGAGAATCAGACACTCTAATTCCTCTAGTAACTCTTTTTTCTGCTATCCACTTCGGAGCTGCAGTGACTGCCTCCACCTTCATCCTCATGCTTAAGATTGTAAATTAAAAAAAAGCACACTTTGTTCCTGCTTTGATCTTTCTCTTCACTCTAGCATAAAACCTCCAGTCAGGTCTTTCATCCCGATGAACAGAACCATCTGTGAACACTACTGTATTTCCTACCTCAGCATTTTCATTTATTCAGGTGCTGTAGCTTTCATTCTTCAACACCCTTATACCACTCTATATATTCTCTTCCTAATGTGATAATGACACGAAGAAAACTGTTGTTGTGAGTGTTCCTGTCAACCTATTCTTGCCCAATGTGTATCTACTAGACTGAAGCTGCCAGCCTGAAAGTATGTTCAGCTAGTGCCATCCATGAATTACTATTATTTTCTTTTTCTTCACTTCCTCATTTACCGCTTCAGGTGTCAAAGGAGACATAAGTTTCTGCTGCTTGCTCTTTTGGCCGCTTCGACCATAGACACATTGTGCTGTTATAGAGTTTATCTGATGTTATCTTTCTAATTTGTTCCTGGTCTACCTCATGCTCTTAGTCCATCTCTCTTTTGGTGTATAGCTTGTATGGTATGCCACTTGCTATTAAAATGGTGTTTATATACATTTTAGTGTAGTGGAAAAGTATTTTTCTGTTGTTTTCTATAAAAAGTATATTTAATTTTATTTTTTTGTTATACATTTCATGAAATCAGGACAAACATCTCATAAACTATGACCTATTAACAGATACTTTTTGCACAATGTGAAACATTGCATCTGTTGTCTTTCTCCAGATGTGTCGCTGGTGTTCTGACCTCCGCTCTTACAGTTACAAGCACATGCTCACCAACAGATTCTAAAGAAAGAGAATCGCATATATTATTCCCTGAGTGGGTTCCAGGGTCCCACTGTGGAATAAACAAGTATAGACCCACACAGAACTGAGCATGCATAGAAATGCCCAATATGCAATGATAACATAACACAACACAACAGACCCACCATCTCCCTAACAAGCATGTCACAGAAGTTGACTAATTGAGGGCTTCATTCAAAGTCGGAGTGTATCTGCCCTAGTGGCAAGGAACAACCAACTCGACACAAGTAAGCCAGTACAATGGTTATACATGCAAACCTAAGGCACTGGCACAAAGTCAAAGTACAAATGGATAAACAATCACAATTTTCAGCTGGAATTAACAGCTGGTGAACAAAGAAGATGACGTATATTATTTTTACATTAGATTCTACTAAACATGATTTTAAAATACAATTAGATTTAGTAAAATAAAACTAAGATTACTGCGGTTAGACATTCTATCACCAAGTTTGATAAAATGTTCAAATAATGGAAAAATTGAGTGAGGTCTATAAAAAGTAAACACAATATTTAAAATTTTCATTTGAAAATGAATGTGTACTACAATAAAGAACTCCCACCTCACAATATTTATTTTCCCACACAGTTTCTAGAATCCATTTAAAATGTGGTGTCAATGTCAGAGTCATCAACAGCTGGATAATATCAATCCTCTGTGATGAGAGATTGAAGTTAAACATCTATTTCAGCTTAGTTCTTCACCCACAGTGAGAGCTCCATGGTTTTGAAGGTTTAGACGACGGATCAACATCATAGCACAAGGGGTAACCCATAAGTGCTCCTTCTACTTCTGACTCAAGCCTGAGCCTGAAGAATCGCAGCACAGTGCATGAACTCCGTAGCACCAGTGAGGACCCTAAATTACTTTTGGGTAGATTTTTAACTTCAAATTTTGCCCAGGCAGCACCGTTAGGCTACTCTTTTCAATTTCCAACTGCCAAAGTATTTTTTATGTGCGCAATAATACAAACGGGCGTCCGATCTTACTACCCAAAGACCTGGGAAAAACTAGAAGTCTGATTTTAAAGGAAACATCCTTAATTAGTTGCCTTTCACAACATGCTTTCTGTGGCTTAGGCACTGTGAACACGCTT